TGTCGATTCTAACACGAACATATGTAAATAATAAGGTATGGTTATAACACATCTTATTAGCGTTAGTGAACCTTTGAGAATGTTTCAATTGCTGTAGACACATAAGCGGTATCCAGGGCAACTGGTAAACTACAATCCGCATCACTTCGAGTATTCCCTCGAAAACCAAGGTGACCTGCCGCCATGTACTGTCCAAAGATGCGTTAAAACATCTCCCTCATTCACTATGAACGGAGGAACAAATTTATTAACGTATGTATATGACAGTGTGAGTAAAATACGTTTAGGCCGCAATCACCAACATTCAAACCCTGACCAGACAAAAAAAAGTTTTTTTAAATATATTTTTTTTATATTTTGTATTTTATATTTTGTTCAAACATGACTTAAATACGAACGTAAGGGGGGGGGGGGGGGGGGGGGGGGGGGTTAGCAATATAGAAGAAGCAAGCCATTAGTGTGGGTTAGTCATTGAATGTTGTTCCAACTAATTATGCGTGTTCGGTTACAGCACGGGTAGCACTGAAGCTCATGTGTATCTGAATATCGACAAGACCAAAACAAGCAACTATGATGGCCTCCTGGCTGCTTCGTTGGAGAAATTGGCGGAAATCGGTTCGATCGATATCAATGGCACCGCCGTTCCCATCAGCAAAATCGCTTTCGGCAACAAAGAAAGTGAGAACAAGTTTCTATATTAATGTTTCCAAGTTTGATCCATGGTTATCAATTAAAAATGTCCAAAGAAGTTTGATTGATTAATTGAGTTTGCAAGAACGTGTTGTTTACGTATGTGGTAGAATTCTTTGATAAAGGTTTTGTAAAACTATAAGATATGTATCATCACTCACGACTGCCTCAACAATAGCGACTATCCAGACTATCTCAAAGATCTTATACCCCTGTACTCTCCAGAGCGTGCTCTCCGATCCTCTGGTGGAACTCTACTGTATCAGCCTCTGTCTACTTCTGCTATGTCTGACCGTGCCTTCTCCTTTTGCAGTCCACAGTTATGGAACTCTTTGCCTTTGAATCTGAGAAACTCTGCTTCTAAGGAAACGTTTAAGTCTCTCCTCAAAACCCACTTCTTCACTTCAGCTTTTCAATAGATCTCCTGATTGTTGGCATATGTACATAGACATTACATTTTAACTTTGTCACAGCGCCAGTGAGCAACTGTCGATGGATATTAGGCGCTTTACAAATCAATTATTATGATTATTATGATTATGATTATGATTATTATTATTATTATTATCGTTTTTTGTTTCAGTCACTGCGGGACAAAGTGTCTGTGACGTGTACCACTTTATACGCAGCCTTTCAAATGACGAACATTGTGCACTGGGTAGTAATGGCATTCCTGTCGCAACGTACGTAAATGAACACGACCTTAGTTTGAATTAATCATCTTGCTTTTTCGTATAAATATTTAGTTTCATGCTTTTCTTAAGCATCGACTTAATTTTTAATTTTTATTTTATATTTATCTAGCGGATGTACTCGAAGCGTGCATAACGGCTTTTACGTTCTTTAATATACGGGGCGCTCGGTTAGCCTAGTGGTTAAAGCGTTCGCTCGTCACGCCGAAGACCCGGGTTCGATTCCCGACATGGGTACTATGTGTGAAACCCAATTCTGGTGTCCCCCGCCTTGATATTGCTGGAATTTTGCTAAAAGCGGCGTAAAGCCATACTCAGTCATTAATATACAAGTGTAAAACATATTGAAGTAATTCATATGAAGATGGATTGGTCGTGTTAAAAATGCATGCCTTTGACAATAGTAAAGAACTGTTTTTTTAACATTGAAATCCGTTGTCATGAAGCCATGAAATGATTTATGGTATTATTTCAAGTATATATTAATAGAAACGTTTAACCTGATATATTTTCTTTTCTTTTCAGGAAGCTTCCAGGGAATTGTAAGTAAAAAATTGATTATATATGGCATACTTACCAAATAAATTTAATACTTCAAGTAAACCATATGCAGCAATTATTAACAATCAACTGAATATACAACTACCCCACACCAGCATAGATTTACGATAGTCTTAGCGCTGTGATGTGACACGTTGTACACATGCATGTCGTGATGCATAGGCAGCCTCGTGGTTAAAGCGTTTGCTCGTCACGCCGAAGACCAATTCCCGACATGGGTACAATGTGTGAAGGCCCTTTCTGGTGTCCCCCGCCATGATATTGCTGGAATATTGCGTAAAAGCGTAAAATCAAACTCGCTCACTCACTCGTCATGTGTTCCAGCCACACAAGGATACAACACGATTGTCACACTGAACGCCAACAGGGACACCATCTTAGCCAACACGACCATCGCTCCTTACTTCAAGCTCCAACAAGACATCGGAAACGGGGTACGTACGTTGCTTGTCAAAATGATGCGCAATGCAATACTAACTGTCGCGTACTTTTATGGATCGGGTACTCGTGCTTGGTGACTTTGTTTGATAGCTTGGTCTTGTGCCACAACGACGTGTATCATTGCACAAAATACTGAACACTGGACTGCCTAATCCTGACTGGATTGTTTACACGTCGTAGATCGAAGCTCATGATGTCTATCGCTAGATTGTCTGGTCCAGACTTGACGACTTGATCGACGTCGTATGACAGGAATAGTGCTGAATGCCGCGTTAGGCATAAACAAAACACCTAATAGTTTTTTAAATGAAAATTGTGACTGGTGCCACAGATAAAGCAGGACACACTTACCCTTTTCGCGAACACCTTGCGTCATAACTGATTTTCAGTAATCCATTCAGGTCATTTTCGTCTCTATTTCGCCTTTTACGCTCAATGGTATCTGTATTTGAGTTCAAATCAATTATTTTTGTTTGTACAGTAAAGCCATCTTAACTCGAAACGATTTGCACTCATTTTTGTAACTTTATTTCCAGATTGACTCTGTCATAAGTGTTGTGTCCCCCGATACACACGTGAGCACATTGGTTGGAAGCCTGAGGTACGTTCTTTCGGCAACTGTACAATTGAATCCGGTTGGACGGAACTCGGGTGTGTCGAATCCCCGGTTGTGTCGAACTCACAATATGTATTACCATACTGAACATACATCATGTTCAATACACGCCTAGATATATAGCAAATGAAAAAAGATTGACCTACAATAACAATGCGATTGTGTTTCTGAGATTGCAAAAGTCACCTATACATGATTTGATGGGGATGGTATGGTACGGATGTGGATGAAGCGGTCGCCCAATTCGGTTCTCAGTCTGTTTCTCGCTGTGCCCACCCTCCTCTCATTTTCACTGTAAAACTGCTACCTACTGTTGTGCTGTCCTATCTATCCACATATGTTTAGATTAACTGATTCATTTTACTATTTCAGCAAAGGCAGCGTCATAGCGCCCGTGTCTCTTCGAGTCGACGTCTCCAAGACGGACAACTTTGACGGCGTATTGGCAGCGATGCTGGAGAAACTGGCTGAGGTCGGCAAGATCACCATTGATGGTCTCGTCGTCGCAATCACTAAACTCGTCTACAACAACATAGAAAGTGAGTAGAAGTCATTGAATTCAAAGCTCTATTTGTAAAATGTGTTAAAACTGTCATTAATATTAATATAAATTTACTTTGAGTATTGTCAATGAGACAAACACAATCATGATATCCTTATAAAATTACAGTTAATGAACAATGGTGTCTTTTTGGAAGTTGGGAGTTAAAGAAATTAATATTACCCAACATATATTTACCTGTTTGTGGTGGTATTTGCTGGTAGCTTCATAGGCTTACGTTCGATTCCCCATTTTGGTAAGGGCAGTGGGGTAGCCAAGCTTTCACTCGTCAAAGAGAAGACCCGGGTTCGATTCTCTACTTCACAATGTGTGAAGCACATTTGTGGTCTCCCACGCCATGATACTTGCTGGAATATTGCAAAAGAGCAATAAAACCATACCCACACACTCACCATGTAGGTACAATTTGTGAAGCCAATTCACAGTGTCTCTCGACGTCATATGGCTTACATATTCCTAAAAGCAGCGTGACACGTGCACCACACTCACTAACTCAGTGCTATTCAAAACGTATCACGGCTGTTGTTTGTTTCAGTCACCAAGGGCCAAAGTGTGTGCGATGTATACAAGCTGTTACGAAAATTAGCCAGCAACGAGTACTGTGAGCTGAACAATGGCATACCTGTCACAAGGTAAGGAAACTATTTCTTGTGATCCTGTGATAATTATTTATATATTGAATATCAGTCCAAAGAAAAAACTCTGACCAACTATTTTATGATGTTATATATGTATAAATGCAAACATGTACATTAGCTTTACAGTACCATAATATATAAAACGCCAAAGAATAGAGGTCTCAATTATCCGCCGAAACAAACTCCAATGGGCGTACAAGTAAAAATAGCGGTGAAAAGTATTTGACTATAAAAAATGCAAAAGGCTAACAAATTATGAAATAAAGCGTTCAATTTATTGGTACCAAAGTAGTATGATCAGTTTAATTCATTTCAATGTAATATTCGTCATTTTCTTACATTTTTTGTTATGCATAGTTCATTTGATTTAATTTCTTTCTTTCAGGAAACTCCCAGAAGATTGTAAGTTGAATATTCAATATTATTAAAAACAATTACGAGAAAAAAGACATATCGTATGAATACATGTAACGATTGCGAATAGATAAGCAAATGACTCCTTGAATAGTTTGCAAGAATATTTGATTTGATTCGCCCTCGCCTATTGGCAATATCATCTTTATATTTCAATGATATTCATATATTCAATATATGTCCAGCTGTCAACATCCCTCTTGCGATTGGTCTGTCCGTGCCCCTGTTCATCATCCTCGTCCTCATCATTGCTGGACTCATCTATCTCTGCTGCCTGCGGAATAGGAAGATGGCTCCGCGTAGGCCGCCGTCGGATGAGCGGTATGTTGTATTAGTTGTTGTAGTGATAGCAGCATTACATGTACAGTTGTATGCAGTAGTAGGATACGGAGGTAGCATGTCTATAGGTAGTGGTATTATTAAAAAGTAGTGGTGGAAATTGTAGAAATAGTAGTAGTAGTAGTAGTAGCAGGATAAAGAAGTAGTATGTTTATGTAGTCGTGGTGGTATTATAAATAAGTAGTGGTGGAAATAATAATAGTAGTAGTAGTAGTAGTAGTAGTAGTAGTAGTAGTAGTAGTAGTAGTAGTAGTAGTAGTATAAATAGTAGTTGTTGTTGTAGCAGGATAAAGAAGTAATAGGTTTATGTCGCAGCGGTGGTATTATAAAATAGTTGTGGTGGAAATAGTAATAGTAGTAGTATAGGTAGTAGTTGTAGTTGTAGCAAGATAAAGAAGTAGTTTGTTTATGTAGCACCGGTGGTAATATAAAATAGTAGTGACGGAAGAAGTAGTAGTAGTAGTAGTAGTAGAAATAGTTGTTGTAGTTGTAGTTGTAGCAGGATAAAGAAGTAGTATGTTTATGTAGCAGTGGGGGTATAATAAAATAGTAGTGGTGGAAGTAGTAGTAGTAGTGGTGGAGTAGTATTACTAAATAGTTATAGCAAAAATACAATAATAGTAACTGTAGTAGTAGGAATAGTAGTACTAATAAGTAGTAGTAGAAGTAGCAACATAGTGGTAGTAGTTGTAGTAGTAGTAGTGGTAGTAGCTTAGCAGTATATGGTAGTAGCTTATTGTATCAGCGGGGCGGTGGTGGGGGGATATTGCTAAAAGCGACGTAAATCCACACTCATTCACTATTGTATGAGCCACCGTAATAGTAGTCGTGGTGGAAGTAGTGGTGGTAGTTGTTGTAGCCGCAGTAGTAATAGTAGCAGCAGTTGGAGTAGGAGTAGGATTACATGTATATAGTTGAAGAAGTGGTAGTAGTAATAGCTGTAGTAGTAGTAGTAGTAGTAGTAGTAGTAGTAGTAGTAGTAGTAGTAGTAGTAGTAGTAGTAGTAGTAGTAGTAGTAGCAGCAGTAGTAAATGTTGTGTATCGTTTTAATATTATTTACATATAACGCACACATTTTCCAGTGACGATGACGCCTTCCGAAGTGCTTTCGTGGGTAACGTACCAACCAAGGGTGACTTCGGTGCTGCTCGCTACATGATGTACTCCCCGCACACACTCTCAGAGACCGCGTCCCAGGTCAGCGACGGCTCTGTCAAAAACGGCCGTCGTCCCAAGAACGTTGGAACACGTGACTTCTACGACACACCATGGGTGAACGAACGTTACCAAGGCCTCACAGAAACATCAAGACGTGAGTGGTGATCTCTCCGCCTTAGCCCTTTATTCTTTATCCCTTTGTTTAACTCCTAGTCCACTCCTTGTTATTCTGCCTTTGTTAACCTTCCCTAATCCTTGTTCTTCTAACCCAGCATTATTTTAAAACTTATATTTCAATCATTCTTGTTCTTTAAACCTCACCCTCAAACTTACATATTAAATCAACCTCCATCCTTATTGTCAGACCAATCCGGTTCTTTGTGGTAATGTAGCTCCAATTTGTCTTGTTCTTTTTACCAAACCCTTTGTTAAACCTGCTTTTAGTCCTTCTTTTCTCTAAACTCGTTTTGTTTCTTTTAATATGTGAACGAGATCTCCTTACAACTCTATGTAAATTCCGATGCCTAGCTTTAAAAGTAATGTACACACCATACGGTTAAATACAAAATCTTCGATGTTCGATGTGTAGCAAGTATATACATTAATGAACATTTATATACTGGATCAAACGTATCCACCCTTCTTCTTAGTTAAATAAAAGCGACAAAAACATTTTCATAATAATGTGAAATTTCATGTCCACTGTATGATACCGACTATATCATAAACACGTGTTCATGAATCACTATCAAACTAGCAAACTGGCTTAAGTTAACCCGACCATGTGTACTTCTTGTTCCCCTTTTCCATATTCAAAAGAAATAAAAGCTAAAAGTATAATGTACTATTCTGACTATACCATGAACATATGTTAGACCTTTCCCCATTCCTTCAAGCTCTTTAAATCTGGTCCAAAACGAACTGGGGGCACGGATGGCCCAGTCGTCTAAGGCGCTGCGATTCGCCGTACAGGGTGTCGTCCCTTGGGCACGCCAGAAACCTATGATTGTGGGTTCGAATCCCGGTTCGCCCCGATTATGTTTCTAGGTTTGTCAGCACCTTACCCGTGCTCGTGGGTTTCACCGAAGTGGTAAACGTCTGAGACCTGCATCACTTCGGGCTTTCCTCCCACATTAAGCGGTGATATATCTGGATTACTGTTAAAAGCGGCGTTAAACCCAACTCACTCACTCACTCCAATGATAACTATTTTAAAATTAAAATTACATGGACCTTATGCATTCTATTTCAATTTTAGATCCTGGAGCACGGGGAGAGCCAACATCTAATTTCTCTTGGGAAAATCTATTTTCTACACTTGACCCTCACAGAAACAGACAGGTGAGCGTATAAAACTATTCCCAAGGAATTAATGATTTCAAGAAGTATATGCATTATGCCACAAACCATGTGATGCTCGAATTGATATCTTAAGATAGTAAGTAGCCAGGTAAGTAAGTAAAAACACTGAAATTGTAAAACAATTGTACCACAATTGTATCAAATATCAAGTAACTCATTAAAATGTGCTCACTTCTGTAAAAGACTGTGCCTAAGGGATTTATAAAACCATACAGTTTAAAACAACACCTCAATTCACTTTGGAGCCAGCTTGGAAGACACCCCCCCCCCCCCCCCCCCCCCTGTATATATGTATATAGACCCCAACCCCACCCCACACAACATTGCCTGGATTGCAGGGTGTCCGTGCTACAATGATATTCTGAGACATTGAACGTAGATTACATGTGTGTAGGTGTGCAAGGTTACAATTCTGTTCAATACCAATGCAACTCACTCACGACCCACTTTCTCCTTTCAGTTCGAAGTCCCGAGACCACAAATCAACTCATCCCCTACCAAGGCGTACAGGGTAAGTTCTCACTGAGTATGACATTACCTCAACAGCACCATTTGCATAGTTTACACACAGGAATGCCATTACTTGTGTCCACAATGTAAATATATGTTGTCTTGTCGGGTAAAGAATATATTAATGTCGTAGTTGAATTTGATTTGACGTTTGTGTTGATCAGGCAGATAACCCAAACCACACGAATACATTAAAGGGCTACCTTGGTTGATGAGCTCAAACATCTTAACAATTGAATATATCTAGCATATTCGAATATTCCGCAATTATTTAAAAGTGCATGGTATCATTATGAACTGCCAAGTAAAAGAAAGTATTGACCATGTTTGATGGTGGCTAAAGGTGAAACGAGAAGAAATGGTTATTCGATTGTGATGTATTTGATACGGGTGTCATGGTTGTGTTTTGGGGTGTTTCAGGGACTGTTTACAACCTAGTAACATTTTGATAACATTTGTAATGCTTTGGTCAAAACCAATTTTCAAGTGTATACGTTCGTTAACCCGGCAAGATAGTATTGTAAGTAATAAGTATAATATATTAGTGAGCATTCAGCCAACCTCTAAAACTGTAAGATAACAGAGCCTTTTGATTGTATCCGTCAATGGTACTTTGTGTTCATTAACGGTGCATGTACATCAGCTGAAATGCAATATTCTATATAATACACGTATATCGACAATGAAAGTGCATGTTATCAATAAGAAAGGAAATGAGGGAATTGTTTTTGGATTGTGCTTGATATTCATAATATTTATTCAAATTAAGAGAGGAGAGAAGACCAAAGTCATTAATATGTTGCTTTAAGTTATAATACATGGGACCACCTCCGTGGTCTAGTGGTAGAGTATCCGCCCGGAGAGCGGAAGGTCCGACGTTCGATCCCCGGCCGCGTTATACCTAGAGACGTAAAAAGATGGTACTTCTTGTTACACTGTCTGGCGCTCAGCATTTAGGGGCTAAAACAAGGACTGGTCGACTCGGATTCAGCGTCCTGTGTCTGAGTGGCTCCGTGGGCGAGCACTATAAATCGGTATCAGTTCGGAATAGTACAAGCAGCCAAACACACACACACACACACACACACACACACACACGTACATGCACGTCGCTATATAAGTGCAATAATCTTGGACGCGACGTTACACCGAATTTTACATCACCACACCTATAATACATGTGACAAGTAATTTATCATCAAAAGTGCCTTCAAGTGTCAATTTTTTGTAATTCATTAAAATGTATTTTCTATATTTGTTTCCAGGATTCTCTGGCATAAAGAACATGTATGGATTCGCTTATTTATTATTTTGAAGTCAGTGTGTGCTTTTGACTCTCCTTGTGAAGGGCAAGCCTGCAATATTGTGTGCTGGAACACAGACTCAGAGATCTTTCCAAAGGATAACGTTTCTGTGCAATGTGTTCCTATCGCGTGGTCTCCTACCTCCGGAATTTCTAAATTGAATATGGATACATTTGACAACAGTTCCCTGACTGTGTGGAGAAACGTGGACAATGGATACTACAAAAAAATACACACATGGGATTGTACAGTTGGTTTTAAATGCATGTATTCCCCACTATGAAGGTGATGTAAAAATTGTTTTCGTTAATCTCTTTATATTAGTACATCCTAATATATCGACATATTGTATAGGGCGTTTGTTTTATTTGTGGGCCACACTTTTGTGATTCTTTAAAAAAGGACTATCGATTAAATATTGTCTCCTATAATATTGAAGGTATTAGTATTAGTTATAAGGTTTTCATTCAAAGAACAATGCAATCAAAAGTGCATATTATATTACATAGTACAGTAAACTACGGTTGTAACGAACTCAAAGGGACTACTAATTTTAGTTCGTTATAACCGTAGTTCGTTATAAGCATATATACAGCATAACTTAAGCAAATAGTCGGGACCAAAAAAGGAAGTTCGTTATATCCGTCAGTTCGTTATAAGCGTGTTCGTTATAACCGTAGTTTACTGTACATACATATTGCTATTTCATTTTCAATTAAATGGTTCTTTTAAATCTAAAAAAGCGTGGCCTCGACACCGATATTTTAGCGTAAAAGACGCGTTGTTTACATTATCCTGTAAAGATATATGAAATAATGCACTATTGGGTATAAATGTCATGTGTGGTGTCACGATCATGTTATTTTAGCGTTTCTGGACGCACAAGAATAACGTTAACCAACCGGTACTGTTATTTTGCTATTTGGTAGGGACAACTGTGTAATGAGTGTTTGCAGCTGCCAATTTCCTATTTTAATAATCTGTTGAAAAGATGAGTAACAACGTTATTTTTTCTATATGATCCTTTTAAAACCAAGACAAATATTCTTCTATTGTGAATGTAGAATCAATTCACCTTCTTCAGAGAAGAACCCTCATTATATTTTTTCCCAGAATATGTTAAAAGGGTGCATAAAAAACGTCAGAATTTTTCCAAAAAATGTGTAGTCATTTCAAGAATATTGTTTAGTTGTTGTTTTTGTTAGAATTTTTAATGCTGTTACAACTTTAGATTGTGTAGTGAGTTGTGTTTTTCATGTTGATTACTGTATCCCGTGTAATTCTGAAAAGCATTACATTGTACGAATAAAACTGTTAATTCATACCCGTTTTGGACAAATAAAATTACGACATGAATTATGTGTACGGTCATTTAATCCCATATTGTGGAGTTCATTTCTGAAGAATATCTTTCATCAATATGTCATTGGGGATATATAACCATTTACCTTTTTTTAGGTGCGCTTTTTTATAGCCAACAAAGGGCTATGTAATAACTAACACCCCTCGTTCGAAGTGAATCTTTCCCAAACACTTTCGTAAGAAATATATTTCGTTCGTTACATTTCGACTTTTCGATGAAAGCCCATTGACTTTTGGTCAAGTAAGAGAGGTAAGAAAAGTTTTCATAACATATAGTACCAATTTAACTACATGATTCCAGTATTTTCGAAATATAGCATAACAATTCAATATTGATAAGTGGAGCCAAAAGTCTTACAATACAATAATCTAGAATTTCACAAATATATCAAAGACATATAAATATCGAGAACATTAGATGTTATTTCACATATATATTTTCGTCCAGATTTGAGCTGATCTAACGTCTTTTTCGGGGGTGTGGTGTGGTTTTCTATCTATTTAAAATATGTTAAATTTCACTATAGCTAACTGATAACGACTAGAATAATGCCACTATGACATATAGTTTACGAAACTTTACAATCGTTAAGTCGATGGGCATGATCATTGATGTGGTGATGTATGATTGCAGCTGTTTTAGTCTCACTAAATACCCTGAATCTGATCCCCATTAACTGTACAGCAGTCTTAGAGGAATAAAAGCTTAAATAACTGTGTTGCTTCACTTTAGGGACCGAACATTTCATAATCATGGGATTGGTGGGGTGCTTGGATTTTTCAAGAGAGTAATCAGTTTCGAATATCTGCCGAAATACATTTAATAAAGTATAATGATGAATGATGTATAAGTGATGAAAATTACATGGATCACTGGAAATCATATGCATTGATGAAAAAGGGTAAGCATTTTAAGCTCCACCTGTAGCACTCACCACAAAAAGTAAGTGTTTGTTGGTTTTTGCCCAAACAGGAAAAGACAACATACCTTTTCAGTTAGCACTTCAAGATATGCAAAGCAATTTGTATACAAAATGCATATTTAAATTTTAATTCCCACCATCTCCAAAATGTCAAATGATCAGCCCCTACTTCCTACTATGATGCATAAAAAACAGCAAAACCCTTTAAAAGATCGTGTGTTTCCTGTCCAAAATTAAACGAAAATCTTATTGAATTTCATCCAAATTGCTTTGACATATGGTTTGGCGCTAAGACACTTCAACGTCATTTGCAATTATAATTTGGCTCTGCTCTGGAATAATAATACTTTTAGACATTTTTCATATCAATAAAGAAGTTGTTTTTGTGATTTAAACATGTCCGAAATAAAACCTGTTGCACACGGACCGTTTCTTATGTTGTACTATGATCATAAACAATCTTATGCTGATGGGGACTTTGTCGAACCGTTGTGCAAACGCTGGGTACATTTCGATATTTCTAGATGTATCCAGAGTAGTATGTATAACTGTTTCCACTGCTTTCCAACCTGGGTTTCTGTGGAGATACCTTTAGGCCCTAACGTCACTTTGTGGAAGAGGTTCATCCAAAGCCTTCCGGCTAGATGATCAGACAAAGCGCAGATTGTCTTTTTCAGATGGACATAACATTTCACCAAGTCCAGCAGCTATTATGCTATATTATTAATGCTGTTATCAAGTATTGTCCACTTATGCCTGGAACACATCAAACCATCGAATGGCAAGTGGCCAGAGTGAATAATGAGTATTATGTATAAACGTCCGTTCTTCAGCTTTTCCACATGTGATGTAAATCAACATATCTAGAAATCCATTTTGTAGATCGATTCTTGGTTGCCTCTTCAAAACATATTCTATATTTCCTTTAAGAGTGATATACTGCATATAACTCCATTCCTTGATACATGGGGCATTATTGCTGCATCTAATGAAGTGAAATCAGTCATTAAGAGGTTGAAGGGAAATGAGTCTCCTGGGCTAGACTGTATTAGTGTAGAACTCCTCCATAGTGCTGACAAACTTATGTTTAAAAATCTGGCATACCACTGCTATAAGATGATCAGTACTTGTAACATGCCTGCCATGATGAGAACTGGAAGTATTCTTCCCATCTACGAAGTGAATAACAAAGATAAATGCAACCCAGCTCACTGTCGTAAGTCCCAAAACTGTTAGTCCTGATTTACCACATCGTCTCCAGTGTGGCTTCCCGAAGGAACATGGAGCTAGTGTTGCTACAAATGTGTCAAAAGAGGCTATTTCCTATTACCAATATATACACTCAAATAGACATGTTGCTTTACTTGACAACGAAAAGGCCTTCGACAGGATATGGTATGAAGGGCTGCTATTGACAAGATACTATTTTGGTGTGAAAGGCAGCGCATAACACATAATCCGTCAATGTTATCAAGAAGCAAGTGCCTGTGTTAAGTACTATGGTAGGACATGTGATTTGATCAATGTTCTACAAACAGGACAAGGTCGCGTGCTTTCAGCATGGATGTTTCTTGTCTATATCAATGACCTGATATTTCAACTTGATGTTCTCCAGTGTGGACTAATTGTTGGTAAGCAGCACATCCCTATGGTATTACTGGCTGACGACACTACTGTTGTTATAATAGTGTACATGGACTGAATATGTCTCTGGATACTATCCACTAGTATGCTCGGCGCTGGAGACTGACGTATAACGCCAATAAGAGCTTTGTCTTGTCTGTAAGCACTGACAGATGAAATTGCAATAGACGTTTGTCAGAATTGGAGATGTAACAATGACGATCCAAACTAGTACGATGTATGCTGGCTCTTTGGTACAAACGGAGAAAGCAAATGAACGAACTACTCGAGCTTGTGCTTGGGCGCGACAGAAAATGAACTTCCAAACATATGTTGGTCTTAGAGTCGGAGGAATGAGCCCAGTCTCTTCATCAAATATCTGGCAACGAGTAATCTTCCCATGTGCTTTCTATGCAAGTGAGCTCCTAATATCAACAACCGTGAGATCAGTGAGAAGAAAAACCCTAAAGCGCTATTTTGCACGACGAGTCCTAAACCTTCACAGGAGATCCTCTACAGTTCCTGAACTCAGGTTCTAAGATTATGGTCAATGATGGAAGAAATGAAGCTTCTCTTTCTGGGACCTCTCTGTAGAGCAGCAGGCACAAGGCGATCTACAATCTGAGATTATCCCAGTATGTCACAACTCTCTCAAATATGATTTACTAAATGTAGCCCGCAAGTTAGGATTATCAGGAGTATTAGACAAACTCATTAAATCGGGAGAGTGAATAGAAAAGCATGGTGCGACGAATTATGTGTGTCTGACAATATGAAGTGGAGAAACTACAACGTCCAGATATGCATAGATTTAGTGAAATTCACACCCGCCTTGCCCCACATCGTCTCTGGACTCTGTGTGTATGGTATGATATTGCTTCTCCCCCTGTTTTTGCCCTGGTAAAGCTGTTAAGCACCAATTGCTTTACCGTGACGGTCTCATGGAACAGGTAAATATGCTTAGTAAGTCTCTATTTGACAATGTTAGCCTTGACACCTATCTCAAACTTGAGGACACTTCTAGTGATAAGGTCAAGGTTCAAACATACCTCGCTGCCATTACAGATGTAGTCCAGGACATGACACTTGGCAGATGGGCTACGTTCATTAGTATCGCGGCTACACATGTCAGCTCATGAAACTTAACATTTATATTGTATTTGTGAAAATATGTGAATACAGTTTTGCGCACATCACTTCATTTCTGCTGACCCAGGTCAATCTGCTGTGTTTATATGTATTTTGTCATCACCATTGACAAGTAATGTAATATTGTATGTACTAATCTCCAAATCATTGGGGAAATAAAGAGTATCAATTCAATCATTATCTGCCCTTAGAGGTTCAGGACAATGTATCAAGAATAATAGCATATATCATCTGAAGTTTACTGAGAAACTATGTGAAATGCAGGACTTCCTCATAGATACCACCTATGTAAAACTTGGGGATAGGACATTTAGGCAAGCATAAGGCATCCAATGGGCACCATCTGTGCTCCCCTCCGTGATGATCTGTGTCTTTATGCATATATATTATGCCAAATTGTCAAATTGCCAAATCAAAACAAGGGAATTTGGCAAAGAAGTTGAACTTAAGTAAACAAATAAGCTTCAGACATATCATTGATCATATAGCGTTTAAAATTCCCTCTAACTTATTTACCCGTCTGAGCGAGAAATCAATGAAAAAGCCTCATATTTCGCATTTTTAGGTACAGTCGAGCATGCTATTTCTACGAAAGTTTGGAAGAGCGTCATACTTTTTTTTTATCAGGGTTACATCATTCAAGGTTTTAGCACATCTAAGTATTGTGGTAGACATGTCAATGACATTTGGCCAAAATAATGTACAAATAAAGTGGACATAATTGGTGCTCATGGGGATGCATTACATTTGTCAAGCATTTGACATATTGTTTTCTTGGAAAGGTTCAGATGACACTTGCTTTTATTTTGACAGTTTGTCCTGAAACTTTGAAGATAATAAATTATAGAGATGTTAGTATATCTATTGTCACCATAGTTACGTGTATTCTAAGCTTTATCATTTCAATGGGAAAGCATATGTCCTTATTATCAATACTTGGTTAGTATTTTGGGAGAATAACGAGACTCCCAACGAATCTTTCTGCCTTTGAAGGTTCGCTAATGAAAAGCTGTTGACACCAAATGGTGTTCCAGGATGAACTGATGTTCCTGTTCATCCAATGATTGGAAACGCTCAAGCACAACTGTGTATCAACCCATTAAGGGGGAACGTTTGAAAGATACAGACTATTTTTTAAATGGATTTCGCTATTGCACGAACCATTCCAAAGAGATTATCAAAAAGTCATGGTGTAATTATAAGAAATCCCTATAACTCATCCTCGGCTAAACTGCTTACAGTAATTGATTTCTTCGTTCTTTACAGTTTCGTGATCACAGCTGATCATACCCAGCAAAACGTTACAGGCGTGGTATATCTTAACGTTATAAGTACATGTACTGCTTAAAAGATGCAAGTTATCGAAAACAAGACGTTTTTTCGTGTGTGATATATTTTATTGCAATTATTGTTTCCACAACTCTCTGTTTTGTCAACAAAATCAATACAATACAAAAAGTTACTTGGAAAAAATATACTTACACTTTTGAAAGTAAACTTAACACAGACGTATGGGAATTAAGTACAAATAGTGTTTCTTCTGTCTGCATATTTTAAAAGACATGTTTTGATATAAAAAAAAAAATTGTTCTCTTAAATCACACGAATTAATGCGGCTATTAAATTTAGTTTCTCCTAGTCTACATAATATTTGTTTGTTATTATGTTTTACATCTTGTAGCGAAGTAACAGTTACTGCATGGCTTTATTTCCGAGCTAACCCACACATAAAATGGTACACAAATAAAAACCACAATACGTCCCTCTGTTTAATTTATAATAACCGGTACAAATACATGTGTACAACAGAATAAAACAGATATTAATGGATATGATAACTGGGTATGATGCCCTCATTTAGCCGGAATAATGTTGATTTGCTCCCTTAAACAACGGATTATTTTTTTTCATGGAAAAGACTGTTTTGTGTGTGTTTCAAGACCTTAAAGGGGGACTGGGCTCGGTAGCCCCTCTTGATATATACAAATTGTTCAAACACTACTTTATTTGTTTGCAAACTCATTATTTTAAGCACATCCCTATTGTAATTAACACAAATGTCAGATGTACTGTTTCGTGCAAGGATCTGTTAAAAAGAGTTTAAAACCATGCCTGAAAATGGCGAAAAGAGTTTCTGAGCAATGCCCCTTTTATGCGCTACCATGAGACATCAAGATTCGTTCATGCAGTACTGACGTTAAAACGAATAGTATCTGAACATGCTATTTATATAGTGCAGGTTTCTTACAATTAGAAACAAATCGTTCTTCCTGTAGTAGAATTATTCCATGTCAAACATGTGTGTATTTTCATGATTTGGATGGCTACTATAAGGAATGTTTGGAGGGCTATTAATTTCAAAATCTTAATTCCAAACATCGTAATGCCATGACATTATTAAATAGAAGAAATTAAATACAAATATTTGTACAAAATACAAAGAGATTGCTGCTACAAGGGGGTCTGATTAAGAGCATTCGGTCGGTGAGCAAATTTAAAGAAATAATTTGAAGGAAAACAAATAATTATGTTCAAAATGTTTTTATTTGCTCTAGTTAAAAATATTTTCGATAACAAACAATAATCGAGGACTCTTTAAACTAATACTAAAACTGAAATACCAACATTTTTTTCACAACGATTTGGAATTTAAAAAAGTGAGAAGGATATAACCGCTTTTAACACGGATAGCCAAGAATGCTCAGATCGCAACTGCGACAGTTCAGGTATTAGCTGCCCAAACAGCACAACATCTTAATAAATCTTGAATACTTGACCACTAAAACAATCTTGACCACTAAAACAAACAAATAGTGCAACGGCACTGTAGCTCACATAGATATATAGTGAACACTTTGAAATGGTATTAAGGACACTCACTTGACATAAGAAGTTATCAGGATTGATATTCAAATACATTTTCCGTGAATACTGAAGACTGAAAACTAACAAAACTAGCGAATCTAATAATTTCAACAAAGATCGACGTCATCAAAATGAGAAACATACACGCCAGTTCCCTGTGTCGGGTTAATTCGGCATATTCAGGGTAGAATACGTTTACAGAGCAAACCTTTGAGAGAATTTAAGAAGTTAAATTTAGCCATAAATAGAATTGTCAATTTGGCAGCCGCGTCGGCTGTACTGCAAAATCGGATTTAAACCTGTAGAACAAATTCAGGTGTCACAACTGGTTGGAACAAGTATGAGTAGTGTCAGTGTCTTTGATTTTGAGATATTATGGTTACAAGTACGAACCATTGTATTTTGAGAGAATGTAATAATATGGTCAAGGTGTAAAGGTCAAATAAAGGTAAAAAAAAGTATAAAAATCACGTAAAACGGAACATATGTATTGAGCCCAAATACTAACTACACATTAACCAAATTGCATAACATTTTGAATGTGAATGACTGAGTAATGGAAATAAGAAGTTTCGGGTTTCGGTGCGGTCGGAGTGTGTAGGTCAAACCAAAGACCCCATTTGAAATATCGCAATTTTCATTACATTTTGAACACGTTTAAGGACTACGACGGATGACATAGCTCACTTTGTCTTTCGGGAAAGCGGAATAAAAATATACATTGGTTTAAAAAAACACACACACATATTTCAATAACAAAAATAACATTTCCGCAACAAGCAATCAACAAATCAACATAAACAATCGGACCTGAGACCCAGGACTAATGATATCACAAATAAACTAACAAGCTATATCTCGCCCCATTTTCCACACAACTATATTGGCATGTATATGTGTATATATGAATTTGTAACGACCGCTGAAGAGTGAGACACTATTTTATATAAGGTTATATATAAAATAAACAAAGTAACGGTGCTAGGTTCACAAAAGACTGAGTGTAATCCTCCGTGGGGTGTGGGAGAATCTTGACCTTCAAGAGAAACATTTAGAAGAGTCACTCACGCGGATTTGATCATTTGTAACTTCGAGTGAAATTTCAACGTCAACGAATATTCAGTCACGACAAACAGCCGGAACAGATTGTGCACTTCACCGGTTATGTGCAATTCGGAATGAAACGCTGCTCAGAGAACGATTTGTTTCTTTCATAATGAGTAATCAAATGGTCAGGCCCACATGTAGGGAACTTCTGACATTCCAAAATCGAACTCCTTTTGAATAGTATATACCATCAATATAATTAATATAATTCAATTTTCTACAAAACATTAAAAATATAGTTATAACCATGCTCACAAAAATAACATGTTCAGTGGTATAGATAAATGTCAAGCTAATTGAAATAAGATTAAGAGGAAATATTGAAATATAAACGTTCCTAAGCGATTATATGATATGCAATCAAAACATCCATGATCCACGAAGTTTATATAGCGAACAAAAACGTAAGGAATCATGACTTGGGGATTGTTTTGGAGTGAAGACTGGGCACACAATGTCATAAAAATATCCCTCAAATTTAAAACAGTGATGCCTATTGTTTTGTTCAGTATAGATAGATGATTATGACAGTAAAATATTCAGACACCCAAACGTAACTTGCCACCATGGGAATGTTCTGGATTGGATAATCATTGTTTCAAACACTATATATACCAAAATACAACGAACCTGCAATCCCAGGTGTGTATACAGCTTATAAGGCATGTTCAAATATATATTGTGATCACGGATTTTCATTCTAACCCGTTACGTCAGTGGTTGAAATTAAAACTGGAGTAAAATCAAAATGTTTCAAATGATTTCATTATATAATTGTTGGTTGGATGAAATAATAAAAAACAAACATATTTTTTGTCAAATAAAAGATCAATTCCTCATTTGGCCTACGTTTTTATTATTGAAATATATAAACACGAAGCCGGAAGAAAAAGTTAAATGTTAATTTTAACCACATTTGTTGCATTTTGAGGTTGGCGGGTTCATAAACCAAGTGGGAATCATCGCCGAACCACAGTCCATTTTACTCCATACACAGTCGGGTGGCCAGCTATTGGTATCCATTTCCAATACACGAATTCAGAAGGTAGACCTCATCGATATAGGAACACATTCATCTTATCGTCATTTGCATCCTTGGAAGAATCACAGAATCTGTGCTCAGTAGGAAATATTGCAGACTCGCCCATTATGAGAAAAGTCAAAAGCACACACACTGACTCCAAAATAATAAATTATCCAAACAGAAATCTTCTTCAAGCGTTTGAATCCTGAAAACAAATCAAGGGGCATTTTAATGGAGGAACTAAATTCAGTCATGACATGTATTTGAGACACTAACCTGGTGTTAAGCTATTTATTTGTTTCATAACCATTACATCAGACTCGGCTTCTGAAGTCACTCCATTAGAAAATATTCTGTCAGTAAACAAAACGCTTATTAATGATGGATTTACTATGTACTATAGAGGTGTCTAAAAAAATGAGGGGAAAAAAAAACAGTACACCGAGTTTTTATGTAATCGAAAAAAATGTTAAATTTTATTATGTCTATTTAACCATCACTCTTTCCTGCAACAGCTTGTAAACAATAATCTGTGGCTGAGTAATTTTGTGTAAAAATAAATAGGTTTAATGAAGACTTGGGTAAGAAATGAATTTACAACCATTTGACTCCTTCCATGCTTGAAATGTTGCAAACTTGCGCCGAAAAGGGCAAATGTGTTGATTTTCAAAAATGTCCAAGATACCCATTAGAAGCTGTGTATTACGCGAATTTTCTTTTTCTAATTTATAAGAATTTTCAATCAAATAATATTTTAAAATATGTGCTGAATAAGACCAAGTAAAGTTCATATATCGCTAACTCAAGAAAATTTCAATTGAAAATTCAACATATGATAAAATCAACTATAATTTTTTGGGCCCTCAGTTTAGTAAAACATCAGCATTACTATTTAACAGCTGGAGCTAAAATATCCTACATAAAATGATGAGTGCTTACCCGAAATGGCCTTTTGGGCCTAACGTTGATCTGAGGTCTTGGCATTTCGAACTGAAAACAAAACAAAACATTAATGATCTATCATGACAATATCGAATAATTATAATCATCATTGATCTAATATATCGAATAGTTAATCCCCTCTTGTGAGGGTCGGGTATTGATTTTGACGCATGATGTTGATACAGTGGTATCAGCAACCTGCTATATAACATTTGGATAAGTATATTATTATTATTATTATTATTATTATTATTAGTCTACATTGATTGAATTAAGTAAAAAACGTCAACACCAGCGAACAACCAGTCTCGACCATCCCTCGAAATAGATTCCACCTGGTTCAAAAGGCAAAACAGCGGTGGAAATCGTATGAATCGTATCACTGAAAATGAGTTATGATACCAGGTGATAAGGACAATGATGACATTATATGTAAGGAATACATATTTCATATCTCTACCACAAGGAAAGTAATATTAACACCTACAAGAATATATTTCAAAGCAACATCAGCTACATTTGAGATAATGTATAAAGGCCAATAATATAACTAGGCATGTATTGGAAGCCATGTACCCACCTGCCCATTTCTTTGAGGTTCAAGAACAGAGAATAAATTTTCCCAAGAGAAATTTGACGTCGGTTCCTCTGCTACTGGTTGTGACTGTAAGCCAACTGGAAAGAAATTATATGTTTGTCATTTATCTTGTTAACATCGTATGAAATGAAATTACAAATTCTCATGATCTGACATGTTACATGTGCTAACGTCCAAGGGTTTGGTTATGTCATGGATTTCTATATCACTAACACAAAGGACGTGGACTGTTTAGTGAAAGTCCACTTATGTACTATCACGTTTTTCGAGTAATCGTACAATACTTTCAGCAGGGATTTCTTTTGATAATGGAAAAGTTCGTTTGTATTTTCAGGTAATATAGAAAATAGACAATCGGGCTACTGCTGTTGCTCGTGGTGGTGGTGGTGCTGGGTGGTGGAATGGTTTAGTGGCAAGTAATATCATGAAGAGGTGGAGGGTGTTTGCGAAGAGGGGGGAAGGGAGGGGATTTGAATACAGAAATGATGGGTCCTTGGGATGGAATGACCCAAAATGTTATGGATTGATATGGCATGACCAAAAGATGGGCATGGAAAATAAAAAAGGAAAATCAATATTGATCACAATTAGAACAAGTCGAGGTAAACCAATTGAATTGGACATGGATCATTACTCGAATGCTTGCAGGTTCAATGAAATGCAAGAAAAAGCATTAGGTTTGTATCTTCTACTCACGTCTCGATGGTTCCGACAGGCCTTGAAAACGCTCGTTGAACCAGGGTGTATCATTGTGCGGCTTTGGACGCCGGAATTGTCTACCAGAGCTACCGCTGCCATTGGTGCTTGCCTCGGAGAGTGTGTGTGGAGAGTACATCATGTAACGAGAAGCACCGAAGCTGCCCTTGGTTGGTAGATTACCCGAGAATGCACTTCGGAAGGCATCACTAAAATGAAATTGATGTAGGGTGTAACTTAAAATAAAGTTATTATAGTTTATCTGCTTCTTTTCTTTGCAATTTCACTCTACAGCGCAGAGGGCTTCCAAAAGTTTGGGATTTAAACAGGCGTCTTAAGCGTGGCAAGCCAACGCTTTAACCTCTTGTCTTCCTGTCTGCGTGCAAGCCAACGCTTTAACCTCTTGTCTTCCTGTCTCCATAATTGCTCTCTGATATAAAATTCTTTTTCGGTATTTTCAAACGTCGAATTGTTATTTCAGAGGATTGAAGATACAATACCTATTGGTGAATTATACAAACACTGCATTTAGTAAACTATATCTTATAATTATGCAGTGACTACAATTACAGGATCACGCAGTGCACTAACCGGTCGTCAGACGCTGGTCTAGAGTGCCTCTGTCGCCTTCTCTTACAGCAGATGAAGACGATGAAGATGATGAGGAGGATCAAGATGATTAATAAGGGTACAGCCAAACCCACTATGAGAGAAGTCTTGTCGGCTGCAATATATGACGAAGTATTACTCAAAGAATGCTTGTCGTAAGAGACGACAAACGGGATCGGGTAGTCAGACTCGGTGACTTAGTTGGTGCATGTAATTGTATCCCAATTGCGTAGATCAATGCTCATCGGATTGTCTGATCAAGACTCAATTATTTACAGACCGCCGTCATATGGCGGGAATATTGCCGAGTGCCGCGTTAAACAACATACAAACAAACACATTAATCAAATGCGTCTCTTAGATGAGTTTTCACGACACTTAATTTGCTATCAACTGATTAAGAGGTGTACTGATGTAATAAAAGGTACACAATGTTCGATCATACATAGTAGATGTGTATGTACGAAACGTACACATGTAGTAAACAAATGGCACAAGGGACATCTTCCTACAGTGTACTCATTTGTAGATTCAAACTGTGATGGGACACACTCAAACTGAAACCACCCCACTACCCAACGCCCTGCAATTGTGATATAGAATGTTTCTGAAACATGTCATTACAGCACGAGCTACATTGGTAAGTTGTGATACTTTTCATTTGAAAACATCATAGTTTAACATGCATTAAATATATGAATATACTCACAATCACCGATGGGCGCCCTGGAACAAAAGGAAGATACGATCAGATCTTCAGCAACATCACAAACATATATAGACTAGTGAGTGAGTGAGTGAGTGAGTGAGTATGGTTTTACACCGCTTTTAGCAATATTACAGCAATATCACGGCGGGGGACACCAGAAATGGGCTTCACACATTGTACCCATGTCGGGAATCGAACCCGGGTCTTCGGCGTGACGAGCGAACGCTTTAACCACTAGGCTACCCGACCGCCCCTATATAGAATAGGACTTAGTGAGTGAGTTATAAAGAATATTGACTTCTACGACGCTTTCGTATGTTGTTACGAAATAGGACCGCATGGAAACTTAGAGTGAGTGAGTGAGTTGGGTTTAACGCCGCTTTGACAAATTTCAATTATATCAAGGCGTATCAGCTTAATGTGGGAGGAAACCCTGAAATTATGCAGGTCTCAGACGTTTACCACTTTAGTGAAGCCCAGGAGCACAGTCATGGTGCTGGCACAAATGGACATATCTTTGGGTCAAATACCGTATTGTTACAATTTGGGTACCAATGGGATGGACCCACCGACCTCCCACTCTCTCTTTCCACTACATCAGGAACTGTTTCAAATTAATACTTATGAATTAAAAAATAATTCCCAACAACTACACTAATGAGCGATTATACTTACACGTCGCCAGGTATACCGTTGGTGATGGTGCAACCGGTATCGATGGAGCGGTTCTTCAGCATGTTGTACACGTGGCACACAGTGTCTTTAACTTCAACTGAAACCCATACAAGATGGACACATGTTTTCTCTTGGATTGTGAAAGTGTATCACAGACATTTTCAGCAGAGGAATCGTCATAATACCTAAACCTTGAAGAAGATATACTGAACAAACAAAGTTAGGGATCAAGAATTTTTATATATATACCGTACACATCTAGAGACACTAAGTCTTCACTTCAGAAAATATCCCCCAAAATATTCAACAATATTCTGTTCAGGTAATTATGTATATGCTCGTAAACTATGTAATTCGATCTAAGATCGCGTTATTCTGAAACACCCGTATGTTGAGCGGAGAAAAACCTTCGTGAATTAACTTTAGCCTGGTGTGTGTGGATTGATGGTGGTTGTGATGTGTGTGTGTGTGTGTGTGCGTGTGTGTGTTTTTGTTTGTGTGTGTGTCTGTGTGTGTGGGTGTGCGTTAGTACTTGCGTACGTGTGTGTTTGTGTTGTGTATATGCTTTTGTTTGTGTGTGTGTGCGTGCGTGCGGGCGTGCGTACGTGCGTTTGTGTATGTATGTATTTATGTGTGTTTATGTGCTTTTGTTTGTATGTGTGTGCGTGCGTTTGTGTATGTGTTTATTTGTGTGTTTTTTTGTGAGCGTATGGATTTTGTGAATTTGTCTGTTTGTGTGCGTGCGTGCGTGCGTGCGTGCGTGCGTGCGTGCGTGCGTGTTAGTGTATGTGTTTATTTGTGTTTGTCTGTGTGTTGTTCCAGATCATTTTGGTACAGATATTGTTTGTATCACAATGTCGGGGAAAAGTTTTCCGGACAAAAATCAGGACGTGACAAAAAAAGTTTTGTAGAAAAAACAAACATTTTTCGGCTCTGTGTTTCGGCTCATAAAAGCAGATCTATCTATCCATCTATATCAGACAGTTTGGGTTGAGGTAAGCAACATATGCGTACACATGGTCTGGGTAAGAACATCCCTTGGAACACCCTCATCAGTGATGTGGAACATAATGTGATGTGAAACACAAGGTGGTTTTGAAACACAATGGGCGATTAGTATTACTGACATGACAATTGGACGTCATCTCGACGAGTACTTACTGGTCATAGTATTGTACACGACCTTGCTGACTGGAGTGGCTGTTCCATCTACAGTGATGGTCCCAACCTCCGCCAGTTTCTCCAAGTATGCTGCCAATACCCCGAGTTGGTTGTTCGTCATTGCGTTGTTTACTCTCAGTGTTGCAAGGACTATGACACTGCCCTTCCTGAAGATATATTAGGTATGTTACTGTTCCTGTATTTACATAGACATAGTCTGGCATTAGACAGGGTATTCCTATTACATAGTTTATCATCAAATGACATGGTATTGTACAGGCCGGAACGCTATTCACTCAGCCATTGGTACAACCTTGAAAAGGCGGATATCTTTGTATAACTGTGATAAACAAAATATCAAACATATGGAATCACGCGAAGTCGTGTTAATGAATCCAGGTGAAGTCGGTGCTTCACAGGACTAGAAATGTGACAGTTTTTGCATTCCAATGATAGGTTTTGCTACAAGGCGCCACAAACGCTCCCCGATCGTCGCGTGAGTTATGAAGAGACGCTGCTTCAAAATAATATGCATTTATAATTTGGTGAGTGAGTTGAAGTTGAACAGTATTCTAATTATATCATGCCGTATCAGCTTGATGTGTGAGGAAAGCCCCAAGTCATGCATGTCTCAGACGTTTACCACTTTGAGCTCGGATATGGAGCTGACAAACTGGTGAAACATAATAAGGCGAACCGGGATTCGAACGCACAATCGATTCGAACGGACTCGAAATCTAGCATGCCCAAATGAGGAAACCCTACACAGCGAATTGCGGCGCCTTAGACGGCTGTGCCACCCGTGCCTCCAATATATATTGAAACACTTATACACAACCTACCTCAAAGTTCCAACACTGCTGGTCACGTGAGCTGTGCTGTGGACAGCCTTGAGGACAGCATCAATCTGAAAAGAATAAATGTTCCACGTGATATGCTGAAGCACTGGGCCAAAAACTGAATAAGGCGAACCTAGAGTGTGTGCGTGTGAGTTGGGTTTAACGCCGCTTTTAACATTATTTCAGTTATATCACGGCGTGTCAGCTTAATGTTGGAGGAAAGCCCAAAGTGATGCAGGTCTCAGACGTTTACCACTTCGGTAAAACCAACGAGCACGGGTATGGTGCTGACAAACCTAGAAACATAATCGGGGCGAACTTGAACATTAAGAAGTGACGTATTAAGAGTTTGACTGAGTTTGAGTTTGTAGAATAGGAAGATTTACGGAAAGTTCTTAATTTGTCATCAAGCATCAGTATTGCAAATACAATGAAGTGAGCCAACTTCCGATTCTTTGGTTATAACTAACATACAAGAAATTAGCAACACGTATTTTTGGTATTTTCACAGGAGTCTGAAGTTGTGGTTAATATAACTAAAATACGCCACGATATGTGGGAGTAATATGTGAAGGTTTGAGTGACAGGTATTAAATTTAGAGAGAAGTTTGCAAGTAAAATGAGCATACAGTTTCATTCATTTATTTCGACATTAAAGGATATACCGTCATATCGATATTAATTGGAGCACATACAGTTGTCTCGATATTAGAGGACACACAGTTGTCTCGATATTAGAGGACATACAGTTATCTCGATATTAGAGCACATACAGTTATCTCGATATTAGAGGACATACAGACTGAGTTATTTCGATATTAGAGGACACACAGTTATCTCGATATTAGAGGACACACAGTTGTCTCAATTAAGAGGACACACAGTTGTCTCGATATTAGAGGACACACAGTTGTCTCGATATTAGAGGACACACAGTTATCTTGATATTAAAGGACATACAGTTGTCTCGATAATAGAAGACATATAGTTATCTCGATATTAGAAGACATACAGTTATCTCGATATTAGAGGACATATGGTTGTCTCGATATTAGAGAACATACAGTTATCTCGATATTAGAGGACATACAGTTATCTCTTTATTGGAGGATATATAGGTATCTCGATATAAGAGGACATATAGTTATCTCGATATTAGAGGACATATAGGTATCTCGATATAAGAGGACATACAGTTGTATCGATATTAGAGGACATACAGTTATTTCGATATTAGAGGACATACAGTTATCTCGATGTTAGAAGACATACAGTTATCTCGATATTAGAGGACATACAGTTGTGTCGATATTAGCGGACATACATTTTTCTCGACATTCGAGGACATACATTGTCTCGGAGAAAAAGGAGCTCCGGTTGAATCAAGACAAATGATATCCCGCTTAGACAAGAGTAGACCTATGATGCAGGGAGTGATGGTCACGTCACCTGGTGTCACCAACAGGTCTCCAATGAACACAATGTGATTCTACCATTCAATGTATCCTGTTTGGAGACAACCGTAGTCATCTTTTGCTGAAACACCTACCGCGACGACAAGATCTTGTTGTAGCTTGGTGTAGGCGGGATGGGTTGGGTTGTCAATGATGCTGTCATATCGGCTTGTGTTGAGTGTGATCTCAGTAATGTATACCGCCACGGCTGAAATGAACCAGTTCTCACATAAACAAACATTCAAGAAGAACAAACATCATTGTACACATTTATTGATGATCTATTGTATAAATTAAGTTCAACACAAGTCAAGGCGTATATTGTTCCCAACGAAACCGATCGGGTCAGAATTCAATTTCAATTCAATTTCAGACTCTCGATTTCCCACATTGGTACAATGTTGAAGCCCATTGGTGTTCCGTCGTAAAATTGCAGGGATATGTCTAAAAGCCGCGTCAAACCACATTAACTCACTCTCTCTTAAAACAACAAAGTCGAAACAGTTCTCATGCAACCAAAAACAAATCCTGTGACCAAATGCAATTCTATCATGTTTTCATACGATAAGAAAACGTCATACCATATTTCAATTGGGAGGCGGGGTAGCCTCGTGGTCAAAGCGTTCGCTTGTCACGCCAAAGACCCGGGTTCGATTCCCGACATGGGTACAATATGTGAAGCCCATTTCTGGTGTCCCCCGCTGTGATATTGCTGGAATATTGCTAAAAGCAGTGTAAAACCATACTCACTAATTCATATCTAAATTATGCTCACCTGAACACGTGGTGCCACCGCTTGACTTCCCATACCCCGCCTTACAGTCACACACATAGTCGCCGTTTGTGTCACGGCACTGCTCATTAGCGCCGCTACAGACAGATGGGGTGGCAGAACACTCGTTGACATTAGTCTCACAGTTGGTACCGGTCCATCCCGTGTTGCACGTGCATGATCCATTGACAGGGTTACAGGACGATGTGTGACCAAACACACACGTGCATGTCTTTTCACAGTTGTTTCCGTATGTGGGCGTTGTACATGCTTAAAATGAAACAAAACATAACAATAAGTTGATCTACAATTTATCACTAAATGCATTAGTGATATCAATGCGATAAACAAATCCGGTATTACGACACTGGTGAAAACGAGGCACCCCAGCAGGAACTACTTATAGTCAGCTCCAATCATCGATGCAAAAATGGCTACTATTATTATTAACCAAGTAACTTGGCACTATATTATAAATGCTAACCCCAGCTCCGTATTCATACGCGATTTCTAAAGCTTCTTCAGTGAGTTACATTATGTCTTAAACATCGACTATGAGAATGACATCATAGGATATCGAGATTTTTACCCTGGTGTTTCCTCATCGTATGCTATTAAGGTATTTAAAATATGGAAAGATACTTGGCTAATAATCTCTATATTTCCTCAGTGATAGAGAGGAAGCATGTAAAAAGGTCATTTGACTGATCCTTAGTGCATTCACCATACAAGGCAGTAAGGTAATGGTAGCTCACATATATGTCCATTGATTGTGTGTAGTTTGAAATCAATACATCTTGCAAAGGAATACCTTTTACTGTTAAGGGCATGAAAAAACTATTATTGCAATTGGAACTTGAAGGAAATAGCATTGCTTTTTGTCTGATATACGTAAAGTTATGAATGTGAACTGATATCCAAATGTCTATTCATTCAAGGTGTATATCAAATAAAAAAAAGGAATTGTTAATTCAAGCTATCATCCACATTTAGTTACGCAATTTAAAGCTATTGAAAGTGGAGCCCCGAAGTAATGTCCAAAGTTTATTTATAAAATGTCATCGATATATTGAATCAAGCAACGGGGACGAGAAGCAAATCGACAGCAGCAACTTCCAAGAAACTTCCATTAGTACAGGCCTCTATCAGGAGTTTTTACAATGACAAAATAATAAAATAATTAAACGGTGTCCTATTATTTTTCCTTTTATGAAGATTTTTAAACCACTTGAAATGTTATCAGAATTCACATTCTATATATATAGCTACACATACCAACACATTGGTTGGCGGTTGATTTCTTGAACCCTGCTTCGCATTCACAGTCAAAGCCGCCATCGGTGTCTCGACACGCCTCCTTAGCGCCGGTACAGACAGATGGGGTGGCTGCACACTCGTTGACATTAGTCTCACACTTGGTGCCGGTCCATCCCGTGTTGCACGTGCAGGATCCGTTGGCCGTGTTACAGGACGCTGTGTTGGCGAACACACACGTGCATGGGTTGGCACAGTTCATTCCATACGTTCTTCCAGTGCATGCTGAAATTGAATTGTTCAAGAGGCATTAAATTTGAATTGGTCTTCAGCAACCCATGCTTTTCGTAAGAGGCGACTAACGGGATCGGGTGGTCAGGCTAGCTGACTTGGTTGATAGATGTCATCGCATCCCAAATGCGTGGATCGATGTTCATGATATCAATCACTGGATTGTTTGGTCCAGACTGGATTATTCATAGACCCCCATCATAAAGCTGGAATATTGCTGAGTGCGGCAGTAAACAGCAAACAAACAAACAAACAAATATAAATGGAATTGTTTGAATGAAACGTGTCTTCAACGTAATGCATATAAAGGAAGTATGAAGGATTTGATGAACTATATTATCCGATTCAATATGATGATCATCTACTTACGAGTACAGGATGTGGCAACTCGAACAAAGCCCGATAGACAGGTACAAGCGTAGGAACCGTTCCTCTCGTTACACACGCCGTTGCTGCCGCAGATGGCAGGGGTGTCGGTACATTCTGCTACGTCATCCGTGCACGTCGTTCCTTTCCAGCCAGTCCTACAGCTACAGCTGCCGTTAGCTGCGTTACAGCTGATGGTGTTGGCGGCGTCACAAAGGCAGGACTGTGCACAGCTGGTGCCAAACTTGCCTTCAGGGCATGCTGTGGAAAGGGTTCACCAGTTTATCGTGGGGGTGTCTTGCCGTTGATTATAGATACAATAACCATGCAGCTTTTAATCACATTGTAATTCCCCAAACAAATGTTTTGACAAAGATATTATTATTTAGGGATTTGGTATTTACTTGGTACTGGTATCATTGGTAACTGGAACTGTGTTTGCCAGTGCAACATTGCCCAGTGCAGTCATGTTTGTCTGTTTACCTTTACATGAAAGTTAAACGGTTGAATCATATCACTCCCGCAGCGGGAAAAACATATCATTAGTAAGAACTGCCATGCCTCCAACTAACATTATGAGAACATTATATGTAACTTTCGGTTATATGCGCTTTCGGTTGCATATCACTGCCGGTTTGAGAACAGACATATCATGCAACTATAAAACAGAATGTTCGATGCCCCTAAAATCATTATTGAGAGAGTTAAGTTCTATTTTCTTGAAATACATGTCTTATACGGGACAAATTGCGAACATAACGTCCCCTGCCTCATAGATACCTTCACAAGTTGTCTTGTCAGCCGCCAACTAGAGGCAATCTGAAGAAGAACACGTGTACTTCTCTTACATACCTTCACACGTTGTCTTGTAAGCAGGCAACTGGAGGCCGTCAGAGGAAGAACGTTTGTACTTCTCTTACATACCTTCACAAGTTGCCATTTAAGCAGCCAACTGGAAGTCATCAGAGGAAGAGCATGTGTACTTCTCTTACATACCTTCACTAGTTGCCTTGTCACCAGTCAACTGGCAGTCATCAGAGGAAGAGCATGTGTACTTCTCTTACATACCTTCACAAGTTGCCTTGTCACCAGTCAACTGGCAGTAATCAGAGGAAGAGCATGTGTACTTCTCTTACATACCTTCACTAGTTGCCATGTCAGCAGCCAACTGGAAGCCATCAGAGGAAGAGCATGTGCACTTCTCTCACATACCTTCACAAGTTGCCTTGTCACCAGTCAACTGGCAGTCATCAGAGGAAGAGCATGTGTACTTCTCTTACATACCTTCACAAGTTGCCATGTCAGCAGCCAACTGGAAGCCATCAGAGCAGGAACATGTGTACGTGCCAGCAGGTGAGTTCGCACAGTTCTGCGAACACGTTGTATTCACGGCACACTCGTTAATGTCTGTTGGTAAAAAGAACATGTTTGAACACCGATGAAGTTTATTAACCCTTTGTTTGTTCTATTACGCCGCACCTAAGAAGATTCCAGCTATATCCGACCAGCACATAAATATTAAAAGTCCAGACAATCCAATGGTTGATATGATAAGCAATCTATTGTCGTCAGGAATCGATGACCAACCATGTCACCGAGTCTGACCACCGTCATTTAATCGCTAAGCATACTTTAATTATCCCACATTACACAATTGGAATTAACGAGACGACACAACATGCCCAAGCCTCTGGGATTAATGATTACTGCAGGCGTATTGAATTGCTCTACAAACATATTCCTTTTCACTTTTGGCAGTGTTATAATTCTGAAAACTGTATTCAAAAGATAAAAGACCATTCAGCAAATGAGTAACAAGGTTGATCCCCCGAGGCATCTGCATCACACACATTGTACACGTACCATCACAGGTTGTGTTGTCGGCGTCACTTAGCTGGTATCCTGGGTTACAGAAACATATGTCTGCTCCTCCTTCAACACGACAACCACCGTTGGCGGAGCAGTCTGTTCTGTTGCAAGTCGTAGCTCCAGGTTTCACTGCGTAATAAGGGTGTCAACCTTTATTATACTTTCATTTACTTATGAACATGTGTTTGAGACCGAGTAGCGTCCAAAGCCATAAACCTAATTCTCATGCAAATCCTTAAAATGTTATCCTGCGATGATATAAAGAATGTGTGCTTAAGAGAACGAAAAATAACATTTTGGTTATATACTTACGCGTGCAATTTAACCTGTTTGGCGTAAGCTCATAGCCATCGTAGCATTCACATGCATATCCGCCAAGAGTGTTTCTACACTTTTGCGGACAACCGCTGGTCCCACGGGCGCATTCGTCTATATCTATTAAAACATATAAGCAGTGTTATAAATGTTGTGAGCATATCTGTAGGTATATAAACATTCGTCTATATCTATTAAGACATATGACATTAGTTTTAATGTTGACATTTGGTGCAAAAATCAAGAATGAAAATAAGTAGAAATATTTTTTTCCACGTTGGTGAAAAGGTTTGATAACAAGGACAACTTATTTCGCCCATTAATTATGTACGTTGAGTAGATGCTTAAAATGTGGCATGTACCATTGCAGGTGACCTTGCCCTCCAGCACGAATCCTTTGTTGCAGCTGCACAGGTAGCTTCCAATTGTGTTGTTACAAACGTGATCGCACACTGACACAGTCGTACTCAAACATTCGTTGATATCTGAAATATTATGTGAACATAGATGAAATAACACTTGAGTATATCGGAGCGAGAGATCGGGTTTTTAAAGCTGCAGTCACCAATATCGCACCCTAATCATGGCGGTTTATAGAAACATTCGAGTCCAGACCGTTGGAGCCTGCTGATCAGGTTAGCCGGACAAGTATGGTTTATAATTGACGACCAATATTCAAATATTCATAAAAAGCCAGTGTGTCAAAAATATATTCACATGATTGAATAAGAGTGATGACTTCAACTCTCCAATAGCCATCTGTCCCTATATGTCGAGCAATATTCCAGGAGCCCTAGCCTTTTGTGTCTACACTTTTGAGGTACAATCGAGTATGCTCATTCTACGACTGTTTCAAAAGTTGTTGGAACCGGGTTACAACATTAAAGGCCTTTGTAAAAGTTTCAAACTATTTTTGGCAGTCGTGTTGCGGATTTATTAAGACACAGGATATATTTTCGGCTACTGCTTCAATACACAATTGCTATGACAGGAGGAGACACCAGAGGTTAGTTTTTACACAAAACCTTTTTCAGGACATTCAGGGTATCCAGAGAACAATTTCGTTTTGCTAAAACCTGAGGACCAATTATTAATCCAGTTTATTTTTCAAAAAATCATATGACCAGTCCCTGAACAGATCAAGGGCTCCATTCAGTACAACTCATCAATGATAGCTGTTTCAACTCACCCTCACAGCTGCCCTTCCCTGAATCCTGGTAGCCAGTATGACAGTCGCATTGGTGTGACCCAGGGGCGTTAATGCAGTCCGAGTTGGTCGGGCATTCAACAGAGGAACATTCATTTATATCGCTCTGGCATTTGTCCCCAGTGAAGCCGCTCTTGCAGCTGCAGCCTGTGATCTTGTTACAGGTCTGTGTGCCAAGTGGGGCACATCCGCACTCATTGACACAGTTCACACCCCAGTGATTGTCATCACATGCTGAAATATGAAGTCATGTAATGCTGAGGTTTCAAATGTAAAATAATAATATATTCAATAAATTACATAATGTTTATCTGACGGAGGTTTCTATAGCAAACATTCCAACACCAAATGACCATTTACACAATTTTGAATGCAAATAATGTGTATTTGAATGAGGTTTCAAATGTCATAAATCCAAGTATCAAATAATCAAAAACACCTTTTAAAAATCAAATACTAATAACACCCTTAAATACGAAAACACAATATGTTTATCTCCTGAATTGAAGTAATTTGGGACAGTTATAAATTAACCCTCTTTATTAGCATAGACGCTTCACAACTCAAATATCTGAACTTACCAACACAAGTGAGGCCATCATTGTCCAGTTTTGTACCAGCTGAACAAGAACAGGTGTAGCTTCCGATCGTGTTTTTGCAGGTGGCCGTACACTTGTTTAAACTTGCCGAGGCACACTCGTTAATATCTGGCATAAAGGAAATAGTGAGTGGGTGAGTTGGATTTAACGCCGCTTTGAACAGTATTACAGTTATATCACGGCGTGTGAGCTTAATCTGGGAGGAAATCCCGAAGTGATGCAGGTCTCAGACGTTTACCACTTCGGTGAAACCCACGAGCACGGGTATGGTACTGACAAACCTAGAAACATAATCGGGGCGAAACGGGATTCGAACCTACAATCATAGGTTTCTGGCGCGCCCAAAAGACGTAACTCTGCACAGCGAATCGCGGCGTCTTTGACGACTGGGCCGCCCGTGCCCCCTCATAAAGGAAAAAAATCCACATTGATCATCTGATCACCAAAACATGAGCGTTCCTGAGACATTTGACAGAATGGATGATCAAGTTCGGTTATGAGTAGGAAAGATACTTTTTTCACAAGGTCGCAAACACCGTCCAGCGTGATTATAAGCATTCTCATGATATGATATTAATTTTGCATTAATATTGGATCAAATCTGTTTTTATTGTTCTATTGGGGGTTTGTTCGGTTTTATCACACTGACTGGATTCCAATTCCCAATTAAATCCAAATGAAATCAAATGTTAAGAATTAAAGAATACCCTCACTGATGTGACCAGGTTAGGATGAGTAGCTTTAAAGGAGATAATTACACTGCTTACAGGCGTCTGTGTATTATAGTGCCCAAGTGACTCTCACCATCACATGTTGTCCGATCCACTCCCAGTGAATAGCCTCGGTTACATCTACAGACAGCGCTGTCACTGACCACCTCACAGTAGTGGCTACAGTTAAGATTGGTCAGTCCCGCACAGGGGTCGGTCTGCTCAGGATCTGCAATGTTCATGAAGACTCATTAATACAATATGTATACACTGTTCAGGAAGAGTCGTCTGTATAATATGTATACAATGTTCATGAAGACTCGTCTATATTATAAAGATGCAACGTTCATGAAGACTCGTCTATATAAAAGTATACAATGTTCGTGAAGCGTCGTCTGCATAATAAATATACAATGCTCATGAAGACTCATCTACATAAGTAAACACTGTTAATGAAGACTCATCTACATAGGTATTCACTGTTAATGAAGACTCATCTACATAAGTATACACTGTTAATGAAGACTCATCTTCATATTAAGTATTCACGGTTAATGAAGACTCATCTACATATTAAGTATTCACTGTTAATGAAGACTCATCTACATAGGTATTCACTGTTAATGAAGACTCATCTACATAAGTATTCACTGTTAATGAAGACTCATCTACATATTAAGTTATCACTGTTAATGAAGACTCATCTATATATGTATTCACTGTTAATGAAGGCTCAACTACATAAGTCCACACTGTTAATGAAGACTCATCTACATATTAAGTATTCACTGTTAATGAAGACTCATCTACATATTAAGTATTCACTGTTAATGAAGACTCATTTGCATATTAAGTATTCACTGTTAATGAAGACTCATTTGCATATTAAGTATTCACTGTTAATGAAGACGTATCTACATAGGTAATCACTGTTAATGTAGACTCATCTACATAGGTATACACTGTTAATGAAGACTCATCTACATAGGTATACACTGTTAATGAAGACTCATCTACATAGGTATTCACTGTTAATGAAGGCTCATCTACATAAGTATACACTGTTAATGTAGACTCATCTACATATTAAGTATTCACTGTCCATGAAGACTTGTCTGTATAAGTATGCACTGTTCATTAAGAGTCGTCTATATAATAAATATACACTGTTCATGGTGACTCTTGTATACGGGTAGGGTTGGGGGGGGATGGAGATTTTGCGCATCCCCGTGTTTCAGAAACATTATCGACTATCATGATTTTGGTTCACTTCGCAATTTGAGTATAGTACGTTCACCCCGCCCCTATCCCACCCCTTTTTCAATATCCTGGATCCGCCTTTGGGTTGTTGATGGGCTTGGCAGAAGCAGTGGTTCGAGGTTTGAGGCCTGATATGAGGACGAAACAGCCATAGTGAATGGAGCATATTTCCCAAAAAACTCAACCCTGGAGTGTAATGAGTTGTCGAGTCTGTGCGGATCATGTCTAAATGTTAACACAAACTAAGATAACGTTGAATTTAATATATCTCAAATACCTCACCTTTAGTACAAGTCTTTCTGTCGTCGTTGAGGGTGTAACCGGTGTTGCAGTAGCAGTTGTAGCTGCCGACCCCATTCCTACACTCCTGTTGACACATAGCCTGGCCGTTGTTGCACTCATCGATATCTACACATCGTCACGCATTTATGAACATGTACATGTGTTGTTGTTTTTCTTTTATATTTTTAATTCAAATGGATTAGTAAAGTTAAATCAATTAACCTTTACTGACAAAATATATCAGAAAATATATGGACGCCTGAAAATTTGTAACACCTGTTTACCCCGAACGAGCATAGGGACCAGGCTATTATATTTCATTTTTTAAAATACTAGTATTCGAAAGTACTAAAAGAACTAAAAATAAAGCACCCTACTCATTTTTATTTCTGCAAATCTGTCCTTAAATCTACTCCTGTTGTATCGATGTTTTCAACAAGTTCATATGAACCTATTCTATTCTACATCATTTTCCGACCCGTGAAGATCCAGGTTAGAATTGGTCTTCAGTAACCTAACGGGATAGGTTGGTCAGGCTTGCTGACTTGGTTCAATGTGGTTGATAAATGACATCGTATCCTAATTGTATAGATCGATGCTCAAGATGTCGATCACTGAATTGTCTGGTACAGACTCTATTATTTACAGAACGCCGTCATATAGCTGGAGTGAGTGAGTGAGTGAGTGAGTATGGTTTTACGCCGCTTTTGGCAATATTCCAGCAATATCACGGCGGGGGACACCAGAAATGGGCTTCACACTGTGTACCCATGTCGGGAATCGAACGTGAGGGTCGAATGGGTCTTCGGCGTGACGAGCGAACGCTTTAACCACTAGGCTACCCGACCGCCCCTCATGTAGCTGGAATATTGTTGAGTTCGGCGTTAAACAACAAGTAAACAAAACATAATTTTCAATAAAAAGATATGTTTAGAGATGTTAGAGATAATTTGACTGAAAATGTTTTTTCGCGTCAGTGGTACTTGAAGGAAGTTAAGGAAACTATCACATGCAGAAACCATCCTACTGTCTGGGACTTACCAGCACATTCACCATTCACCTTGTTGTAGCCAAGCTCACAGTTACACACGTATGAGCCAACGACGTTCTCACACTTGGTGTTGTTGGGGCAGGTCACAGTGGTAGAGATACATTCGTCCATATCTGGAGTAAGCACATCAGACAGTCAATTTAAGTAAGAAAACAGCAAGATAGAACCAACTTTGCAGGATATCATACTGAGTTGTGCAGAGAACCGGTCATTTGTTATATAGGGTTGTGCAGGGGACTGGTCATTTATCGTACTGGGGTGGAACAGGGGACCAGTCATTGATATACTGAGGTGGAACAGGGTACCTGTCATTTATATGCTGGGGTGAAGCAGAGGATTGGTCATTAAATAAACTGGGGGTGGAGGTTGCGATGGCTATTTTTCTTACCTGTCTGGAGCCGAGACCGGTCATTTCACATACTTGTGTGGAGTAGGGTGAAGGCATATTTTTCATGTTGTGACTGAGAAGTGGACCGGTCATTATACACACTACAGGGGATCAGGTGAGTTGCTGCTATCATACAATATCAAGGACAGAATAATGTAAAAGATGAGCGTGCATAAAATTCGTTTACCGATGCAGTCGGTTCCATTCTTTTCATATCCCGTGGGACAGTTGCATGTATGAGATCCATTTGTGTTAGTACACACTTGTTTATCGCCGCAGATGGTCGGTGTTGTGGTGCACTCGTCGACGTCCATGTCGCATGCCGGACCTGTCCAACCTGCTCTACAGACACAGCCACGTGCAGGGTCACAGCTCGAAGCACGACCTTGACATTCACACGTGTTCTGACATTCAACGCCCCAACGCGGAAACCCACATTCTGAAAGTGATAGTTTAGGTGTTAACAGAAACACAAAGTCCATATTCGTTTTAATCAACATTTAAACTTTTTGAAAGGGAGCATCCTCAAAACCAGCATGGTGTCATGGATAGGAAGGATCCTGATGCATTCAGGCTGCTACTCACTGAGGCAGGTCTGTTTGTCTTGTGACAGTTTGAAGCCGGTGAAGCAGGAGCAGACGTAGCTGCCGTCGGTGTTGTTACAGGTCTGGGAGCACAGGTTGTTTCCACATTCGTCGATATCTAGAAAAAACATATTTGGACGTTCATAACAAATGTCACGGATTTAGCTTAACAAAACGAAGTAAGAAAAATATTCATAAACTTTCTTTGAATTATCCTTGAAAAGAAAACGTATACCAGCTTGCACAATGTTTTGTTGCAATATATAATTTTCGTAGTTAAATATGAGTGAGTAAGTGAGTGAGTTTTGCTTAACGCCGCTTTAAACAGTATTCCAGGTATACCACAGCGTGTCAGCTTCATGAGGTGATGCGGGTCCAAGACTTTTACCACTTCGTTGAAACCCATGTGCACGGATATGGTGCTGATAAACATAATCGGGGTAAACCGGGAATCGAACCTACAATCATAGGTTTCTGGCGTGGCCAAGGGACGCAACTCTGCACAGCGAATTGCGGCGCCTTAGACGACAGGGCCACCCATGCCTCCAGTTACATATAAATCTTGGCGTACACCAAAGGTATACCTACAATGATTAAGCAGACAGTATGTACACCGGTGCGTTTCAGCAAGACATACACGTAGGAAGACTCAAATTCCATCAATAAGCCCATCAAGAAACTTACCTATGCAGTTCTTTCCTTCAGAGTGAAGTGTATAGCCCGTTCTGCATTTACAAGTGCCATTATCACAGAAATGTTCGCATCCAATAGTCTGGCAATCAACGCCAGCTGAAACAGAACACAAGGTTTAATCTGATCTCATAAACATTATTGAAAACGCCAACGAAGAAAAAAATAATCCAAATAATAAATAAATAAAAAAAAACTAATTCCACGGGGTGTGAAAGGAAAATAGTGATGAAACTTTTTTCAACGGATCACTGAAAATCAGCACACGCCATTCACAATATTTTTCGTTAAAAAGTAGTAAGTGCCAGTGATTGAGGAGGTGTGAAAGCTTAAAGTCCCAACCGGACTATAAATAGCGCGGTATTTTACGAGATCTTAGTGTTTGACAGACGTTTCGTGAGTAATCGGTGAACCAAAATCTTGAATAACTAAAGAACGAGACAACATTCACATCCAAATCTTGGCAGACAGATTTGCCCTACACCAGTCAATGTAACAAAAGTCACACGATATAAAAAAATATTACATTCGATCTGATGTTTGGTTGTAAAATATTGACCTTCATGTTGACAAGCGATCATGTTTGGTGAATTCTTCCGAATGTCGACCGTAACATTACTATGTAGGCCTTTGGTGGTGAAATCTTCATTAAAGTGCTAAGAAGTTGCCAATTTCTATGCACAAAACACAACGGACTGACTGCATACGTTTTGAGCTTTATGTTATTTTTGTGTTTTGCTGTTCCACAGCTGGGATACTTCTCAGTCTAACACTATACGTGTATATAATCATGTAGACCATCTCACACACGACTGGACACTGATACAATTGGTACATACAAGGTAGACCATCTTACACACGACTGGACACTGATACAATTGGTACATACAAGGTAGACCATCTTACACACGACTAGACACTGATACAGTTGGTACGTATAAGGTAGACCATCTTATACACGATTGGACACTGATACAATTGGTACATACAAGGTAGACCATCTAACACAAGACTGGACACTGATACAATTGGTACATACAAGGTAGACCATCTTACACACGACTGGACACTGATACAATTGGTACGTTCAAGGTAGATCATCTTACACATGATTGGACACTGATACAATTGGTACATACAAGGTAGACCATCTCACACACGACTGGACACTGATACAATTGGTACATACAAGGTAGACCATCTTACACACGACTGGACACTGATATAATTGGTAAATACAAGGTAGACCATCTCACACACGACTGGACACTGATGCAATTTGTACATACAAGGTAGCCCATCTTACACACGACTGGACACTGATACAATTGGTACATACAAGGTAGACCATCTTACACACGACTGGACACTGATACAATTGGTACGTACAAGGTAGACCAGCTTACACACGACTAAACACTGATACAATTGGTACGTACAAGGTAGACCATCTTACACACGATTGGACACTGATACAATTGGAACATACAAGGTAGACAATCTAACACATGACTAGACACTGATACAATTGGTACGTATAAGGTAGACCATCTTACAAACGATTGGACACTGATACAATTGGAACGTACAAGGTAGACAATCTAACACATGACTAGACACTGATACAATTGGTACGTACAAGGTAGACCATCTTACACACGACTGGACATTGATACAATTGGTACATACAAGGTAGACCATCTTACACACGACTAGACACTGATACAGTTGGTACGTATAAGGTAGACAATCTAACACATGACTAGACACTGATACAATTGGTACGTACAAGGTAGACCATCTTACACACGACTGGACACTGATACAATTGGTACATACAAGGTAGACCATCTTACACACGACTGGACACTGATACAATTGGTACATACAAGGTAGACCATCTTACACACGACTGGACACTGATACAATTGGTACGTACAAGGTAGACCATCTCACACACGACTGGACACTGATACAATTGGTACGTTCAAGGTAGATCATCTTACACATGATTGGACACTTATACAATTGGTACATACAAGGTAGACCATCTAACACACGACTGGACACTGATACAATTGGTACATACAAGGTAGACCATCTTACACACGACTGGACACTGATATAATTGGTAAATACAAGGTAGACCATCTCACACACGACTGGACACTGATACAATTGGTACGTACAAGGTAGACCAGCTTACACACGACTAAACACTGATACAATTGGTACATACAATGTAGACCATCTTACACACGATTGGACACTGAAACAATTGGAACATACAAGGTAGACAATCTAACACAAGACTTGACACTGATACAATTGGTACGTACAAGGTAGACCATCTTACACACGACTGGACACAATGATACAATTAGTACGTTCAAGGTAGATCATCTTACACATGATTGAACACTGATACAATTGGTAAATACAAGGTAGAACATCTCACTTACGACTGGACACTGATACAATTGGTACGTACAAGGTAGACCATCTGACACACGACTGGACACTGATACAATTGGTAAATACAGGGTAGACCATCTTACATATGATTGGACACTGATACAATTGGTACATACAAGGTAGACCATCTAACACACGACTGGACACTGATACAATTGGTACGTACAAGGTAGACCATCTTACACACGACTGGACACTGATACAATTGGTACATACAAGGTAGACCATCCTTACACACGACTGGACACTGATACAATTGGTACGTACAAGGTAGACCATCTTACACACGACTAGACACTGATACAATTGGTACATACAAGGTAGACCATCTTACACACGACTGGACACTGATACAATTGGTACGTACAAGGTAGACCATCTTACACACGACTGGACACTGATACAATTGGTAAATACAAGGTAGACTATCTTACATATGATTGGACACTGATACAATTGGTACATACAAGGTAGACCATCTAACACACGACTGGACACTGATACAATTGGTACGTACAAGGTAGACCATCTCACACACGACTGGACACTGATACAATTGGTACATACAAGGTAGACCATCCTTACACACGACTGGACACTGATACAATTGGTACATACAAGGTAGACCATCTAACACACCACTGGACACTGATACAATTGGTACATACAAAGTAGACCATCTTATACACGATTGGACACTGATACAATTGGAACATACAAGGTAGACCATCTTACACACGACTGGACACTGATACAATTGGTACATACAAGGTAGACCATCTTACACACGACTGGACACTGATACAATTGGTACGTACAAGGTAGGCCATCTTACACATTACGCGTTGCACCCGCTAGAGTATATGTAAACTAACACAATAGTATGGACAACCTGCTACCCGCTATTTCCTGTAATAGGTTACACTTACTTTCGTTGCATGTTTTATTATCAGCATTGAGGGTGTATCCATTGTAACAGCCGCATTGCCAGCCGCCGTCGGTGTTGTTGCATGTTTGAATACAGTCGTTGCTTTGTTCGTTACACTCGTCGATGTCTTCAAGAAAATAAAATAAAATTACGGACACGTGAAAAAGGTGACAAAAACATTTCTACAATCATATAAATATATATGTCAACCTCAGAGACGAAGCATGTGTTTATGAATCCCTATGAAATAGTCGGGACACAAGGTGCTCGCGAAAAGGTGAACACGTACGAGTTGAAAAGGAATTGCGTCGGACATAATTTTTGTCCCCGATGCGTCAAATTTTGAATGTTCCTACCTGCTTGCCTCAGGGCATAAGGAAAGATTATCACATCTTTTATCAAACATTTTATAAAAACAAAGGACGTTGTGCTATTAAGTTCTTCTTAGTCAACAAAGGATACCTTTTCTTTGAGATAGCTGTATTCTGGGGCACCATGTAACAATAAAGCTTTACTTCAACATTCACTCACCGACACAGAGTTTGGAACTATCTTCTCTATACCCCTTCTCACACATGCACATGAAGGAACCGACGGTGTCTTCACATTTAGAATTGGACGGGCACGGTCCTGTTCCGTTTAAGCATTCGTTGATATCTGTAAACATACGTTCAAATCATTATAACTGCGTCAAAATGCTTTGTCCTGTAATTGTTACAGCCCCGTCGTGTTAAGGACATACACGTGTTTCGGTCTCAGGCTTTTACCTAATGGGACAAGGAACATGTAGGTTTGTACTGCTCACAGTGTAGTCGTCTGCATACCTTCATACATTATAATAACACAAAGCTCATTATAATCAGTATCCTGAATACATTACACTTGTTATGGAAAGCAACTTCTTTATATTCTTTGTACGACGTTTCACAGCTACTTCTTGCTCCTTCATCAGAAAGTCGTACAATGAATAAAAGAAGTTGCTATCCCTTAAAACGTGTCATGTATTCATGATCCCCTAACTTCTAAATGCCTATCAAATACTTTGATCAGTGTCCTACTAAACTACCGGACAAAATTAAGTATACGCTGAAAAATTGAATTTGACAAAACAAATTACAAACGTTATGAAACCGTTACTTTGCTGAAAACAGTCGCCGAAATACTGTTAACCTAAAGTAACAAATGAGTGAGTTGATATGATTTTAGCAATATTCCAGCAATATCACGGCAGGGGAAATGGGGCTTCGTTCTTTGTACCCATGTAGGATAAGGTCGAAAACACAACACCGACACTCGTATCAAATACATCACTATCGAATAACCACTTTTTGTTTTCATTTTTAGCCACTATCAAATGGGTGTATACTTTATTTTGCCCGGCAGTTTATTTTGGTTATTATATTGCCAAATCTGACATGCTGTCAAAACACTCACTTTGACACCAATACAAAAAGTTATATAATGACCCTACGATATTCATGTACAATGTCTGCATCGGAGAGGGGCCACGGGTGGCCCAGTCGGCAAGGCGACGCATTTCGCTGGGCAGAACTTCGTCCCTTGGACACGCCAGAAACTTATGATTGTGGGTTCGAATCCCGGTTCGTCCTGATTAAGTTTCTAGGTTTGTCAGCACCATACCCGTGCTCGTGGGTATCACCGAAGTGGTAAACGTCTGAGTCCTTCATCAATTCGGATTTCCTTCCATATTAAGCTGGAACGCCGTGATATAGCTGGAATACTGTTCAAAGCGGCGTTAACCCCAACTCACTCACTTAATCAGCACGTACTTTTACATTCTGCATTTGCGGCGGCACCGGGTTCCGAGGCGTACCCGTCTGGACAGGCCGAGCAGTTGAATGCATTACCAGTGCGTGCTTCTTCTGAAGCGGTTACATCAGTGCAGGTACGTCCAAAACCACAGGCGTCGGGATCAGCACAGCCGTCCGTGTCATTTTCACACGCTGCACCTGCAAGACAGATACAACCAATGCAAAGGTAGACTTTTGCCGTCATATTGTTGAAAATACTAACTGTTCGATGTTTACAGCATAGGTTTTAAGGTGCACATAAATTCTGAACATGCATGGGATCCTGAATTCACAAGGGATCAAAACAGAAGTCACACGGCATTGACCCTGACCCTTACTTTGACCTTGAACATCCAGTCGATGTGGCCAGGATAGATTTTTGATAAAGGACCAGCAATTCATTTAATAGGGGGGTTACAACAGGCGCGCCCCTCCCCGATTATCAAATGAACTGTCCCAACTTAAGGTATCCAAGAAATGTATCGCTGAACGGTGTTTTACCTGAGTAGCCTGTATTGCATTTACAAGCCATCAACTGAAAATACGTATCATTCTGGGAAGCAGGTCGGACAACTGGCGTTGTGAAGTCACACCTTCCATGATCAGTACATCCTATACATAGCCGCACCACAACGTCAAGTATGGGCGACTGTGCATCTTTTGAATCATTTGCTGCAATTCTGAAACGAAATAAATAGTATTCCTCTGAGGTGAAAGAATATAATCTTTTAAAAAATCGATACTGTATTTAGATGTGTACATTTGATGAGAGTATTGAGAACACATTCTACTTCTGCCATATGCGACCTTACACTGTAATAAGCCGTTTATCAGTAATAGCAGTGTACAATGTACATGTCGAAACGTTGTCCTTATCACAAGAACATCAGTCAACTTTTATTATCTCAAACACACTTGTCAAGAATACATAAAGATCCGGGTTAGATTGGTCTTCAGCTACCCATGCTTGTCGTCAGAAGCGACTAACGGGATCGGGAGGTCAGGCTCGCTGACTTAGTTGATGCATGTCATCGTATACCAATTGCGTACATCCATGCGCATGATGTCAATCACTGGATTGCCTTGTCGAGACGAGATTATTTACAGACCGCCGTCATAAAGCTGGAATATTGCTGAGTGCGGCAAATGTGTACAACAAATGCTTATGTGTAAAAAGAATACGACAGACTATGTCGGATAATGTCACGATCCTGTATAGTGGGTCATTTCTGGGCAAAATGCCCGTTTTGATACAGAATATGACTATGTTCAAATTATAAGAAATGTCTTTTTAATGTAGTTGTCACAAACACATGCAAGGCACATCAAGTTTTCACCTGAACAAACACGGAAACATATGGTACAAGACGCCCTACCTACTTCTTGCCTAAATGCTCTATCCCCAATTTCACATAGTAGTTGATATGTATGAAGAAGCCCGATCCTACCCTCTTGGTATATTATTGAAAAAAAAATCATATACAAGGATCTATGGATACATGTATTTTTGAAGGTGTTGGGTTGTTATATGCGGTGTTGCCTTGAAGTCTTTCTTTGTCTTTACCACTTGGCTATTTGAATATTAAGGAAAATCTCAAAAATAGGAAACGTTTGCTGATGTGGTATGTACATGTCTACTTGAAGCAGGGAATTTAAATAGGAATAGGAAACTCTCATCAATATCCATGTCAATTGGAAAAGAGGGATATATGGAGACTGTGTTACACATTCAGAGTGGCTTCTTAAAACATTATCTTGGGGACTTGCAAACCTCGAAAGATTAACCACTAAGGTACAACCATCATGTTGATACCATGCAGTCTATTAGTATCAGTTTTACTACTTCTCTACCAACAAGATTGTCCGATGGAAATAGTTGCTTGTCTACGGTATATCGGAGACGACTGTATTTATGGTTTATTTGGTAAATATATGTATCCTCACAGATTCAGATTCAGTTTTCCCTCAACATTCTCAAATAGTATACCTAACAAAGCATTAGGAAAACATAACAGTGAAGATATTCTACCTGATTATGGCTGGGTCGCTATTTTCAGGTGTCCAAGTTGCAAAGCCAGTAGTAGCGTTCAGTTGGAAGTTGGTAGGCTGATCGATAATAATGTAATTTATAGTGTCATTATCGGCGTCAGTTCCCACGAATTGGAGAGATACGTTTTGCCCGCGTTCCACGTTGATCTGGTCAGTTCCCGCCAACGTCGGGTTTCTGTTGGCTGACACACGAAGTGTAAAGTATTAATATCATATTCCATACGAGAGGAGAAATGTAAAGTATTAATATCATACTAAATACGAGAGGTGAAATGTAAAGTATTAACATCATACTAAATACGAGAGGTGAAATGTAAAGTATTAATATCATACTAAATACGAGAGGAGAAATGTAAAGTTTTAATATCATACTAAATACGAGAGGTGAAATGTAAACTTAAGTATTAATATCATATTAAATACGAAAGGAGAAATGTAAAGTATTAATATCATATTAAATACGAAAGGTGAAATGTAAAGTATTAATATCATATTAAATACGAGAGGTGAAATGTAAAGATGCTTAACGAGTTAATGACACAAAACAGACCAGGTCCCGATCGACAAAACGGTCGTAGCATTATGGTATTGTGGTACCTACCTATGTATATAGTTTTTCATAGGCTTACGAATACCGTCGTGCTACGAACAGTTCGCGTGTCAGTTTATAGAACAAGGTAATTTACACAACTGCAATATCGTACTGTAAAAATAACAAAGGTTGAAAAACGTGAACACGAAAAAATGTTTTTTGACAGAAAATCTCTGCATGAAGTTTTCCGACGATATGTTGATCAATTTTAAGGAATAAATGTATAGTTATTACTATTCTGCTGCCACGATCGATTCCGTAAAAACTCTGTTCTTTAAGAACTGCATTTTAATTGTGATAAGCATATATGTTTTGCTGTTCAATAAATACAAGTATTCTCGTCAATTGAACACCTCTGTCAGTTCTCTCACCAACCCATATTCATAATCTTTAAAGAGTACACGACCCGTTCCCATCCTACCTTACCTAGGGTTTCGGTTACCGACTTCGCTTCCTGTATCTGTTCAGTGGCGGCTTTGGCTAGGTCTGCGTTCTTCGTAAGTGCGTAGTCAAATATGCACTGTTTGTTGTCGGCACCGCATATTCCAATTGCATCTTGGCGATCGGCATTTGATATGTCTTCCTCAAACAGAGGTGTATAGCTGCTGTCGGTAAAGGTGGATATACTCTGCCCAGGAGAATAATGAAGAACGGAATCGGATTGTTGTGTCAGGGCCCCTTTGAACAGATCATGTATTTTTGAAGTTGGCTTTATAAAATACAGTTTCCGTATTCGACGTAATAAGCGCCTAGGGCGCTCTCAAAATTAGAAATAGGGGGCTCTTATTAGAATATTATTTTGGTGGAAAAAAACAGAGTCGAAAGATAAATTTCGTGGTTTATACTGACAGCCTGAAATGTTTATATACGAGAGATACATATTTTCGGAATTTAATTGCCCATAATTAAGGGTGCATATAACAAACGAGTGCGTATTATACGCGAATAAATAAGTGTTGTGTACACTGATCTATCGGAAGGGGTGCTAATTGGGATTGTTCACTGGCCAATATATTAGCAAATATCACCGTGGGCGCTTATTAGAGCGGGGCGCTTATTACGTCGAATACGGTACATATTGAGCTGGTTTATTTCGCATCTGGTACATGGCAATTTGAATAATGAAAATGAAATGAAATGTACACCAGGAAATTGAAAAAGAAATAGGAAACTGGAATTAATATCTGTGTTGATTGAAAATAGTGATAAACGATGACAGTTTTAGCACACTCAGGGTGGTTTAACATAACTTCTTGGAGACTTTCAAACCTCTAAAGATGAACTGCTCAGATAAATACATCATGATGAAAACATAATATGCTGGCTACTATTATAAGTTTTATTCCTTCTCTACTTACACGATTGGCCGAAAGCAAACAGCTGCTTGTCTGTCGAATTAGCTGAGTAGAGTGTTCCATCAGGGGACATGAAGTCATCCGTGTCGATATCATTGTAATTCCCAAGAAGCCCTTTGGGTAGGCCCTTGTGTCTCTCCTCTAGAACTGCCGAATGTGACAGAGTCCCTGAGATGATCGCCACTGTCACGACAACCCCTGGAAATCATGTCGATGTTTATGTTATTTAATTCGGTGATCAAGTATTTGTCGATCTTGACTTACTATCGGAGACATTTCCCCTTGCGTACTAAAGATAAAGTTCACATATTTTCTAAAACACCCTAAACATGGTGATACATTACACTGTACCTATTTTAGGGAAGGAAAATTCCGCCCTCGTGTCGTTCAGTTTAGAGACGATAAAAATATCCGATGTTCTGCTGAAGTTGGCCTCATCGTAGAATTGGGTAGTCATGTCCAAATCATCACAGTAGATCACGAATCCTGAAACACGTCCATACATCTTGTTAGAGATCTAAGGTTAGAAATTACTTTCTTAAGATTTCCAAACAAATAATAATAATAACAATAATAATCTGAACGACCACTGCATCGAGTTTATGTGCAGTGTGTTGAGAAGATCAGCAATCTTGCAGAGTCCTTTAAATTTCCTTGGATGAAGTCGTCTTGCCTGAAAAGTGAAACAGAAGGTTTTTTGTTTGCTGCTCAGGACCTGCCACTTCCCACTCGAAACCGTCAATGTGTGATTTTGCATCAAAATGTAAATATGAAATGTAGATTATGCAATGAATTAAATGAGACTGTCCAACACATTGTTAGTGGATGCCCAGCTTTGGCACAAACAGTATCTTAAACGACATGATGGGGTGGCTCGATCATTTTATTACCGTCTTCGCCATGATTGTGGTTTTGACACAGAGGTCCACCCATGGTACGACCCGGAATATGTAGAGGGCATCATGGAAAATGATCAATACAAAATTCTTTGGAACAGGCCCATTTACAGCCTCGGACGTATCCAGACCAACAAACCTGATCTTGTCCTCTTTGATGTATCCAATGAAACGATTTATATCACTGAATTCTCTGTCCCCTTTGACACTAATGTGATTGACAAGATTGAGGAAAAACATGGCAAATATGCAGACCTCGCTTTCGAAATGTCACGCTTGCATCCCAAGTACCAATTGTCCGACTTCCAATTGTTCTCGGTGTCTTAGGTTTGGTACCTCCCAATCTGTTGACTGACATTGGGAGAGTACCCGGGTTTGCTACCAGGAATACAGCCCTTCTGACAATCTTGGTAATGCAGAAGGCTGCAGTGTTGGTGAGTTTTCACATTCTCCGAAAAGGTCTGGGTTGATTTGACTAGGCAGCGCTTCCCGGGATAAGTCCCATTCGCTGTCTGGGCTGTGGTAGAGGAGGCAAGGGCCCTGAGCTGACGATGAGCCTCACCAGCCCTCTTTGCTTCATTTTTTAAATTTAAATCTGTACATTATGATAATAAAATTATAATGATAACAACAATAACAATAATAATTATAATTATAATAACAATAATGCGCTAACTTCCACGCCACAAAGCATGCTCAAAGCGCTGGCAACTCACATAAATACGTAAACATGAATGACAGTAACACTGACATTCTACCTTCAACCCATTATTTTTTGGGCAAGAAACGTACTTGTTTTGTCGTTGTTGAGTTCAATGTGCACCTTCGCTGATCCGAGAGAACCTGATTGTTCGGCAGCGAAGGCAGAAAATAGAGTGGCATTGACCTTTGCCCCCGTGCTGTTTACTGCCTGAGCAGTTCGGCACTGTAGCTTGAAGGTGAAGGTATTATCTTCTGGTTGAAGTTCAATCAGCTTGTACTCCCCTAAACCATTGAAAGTAAACACCGTGCCGTCCAATGCCATGAAGTGGGGGTCGCCGAAAATGAACCCTGGATGAAAAGTGAAAAAAATTATAGTGACACAAATTACCTTTCTTATTTAACTCGGTTTCATGACAACACATTTGGGGTTTTTTAATGATGGAAATATTTTTGAATAAAGCCATGTGCATACATAATCAAATCCAAAGATGTGAGGTGAAATGAAGTTTAACGTCGCGTCAAAGAGTATTGCACTGCATATGTGTGTGTGTGTGTGTGTGTGTGTGTGTGTGTGTGTGTGTGTGTGTGTGTGTGTGTGGCTGCTTGTTCTAATCCGGATTGATGCCAATATATAGTTCTAGTCAACTGAGATACCATGCCACAACAGTCTAGCGTGAATACCCCACACAGACTCCGAGCCGACCAGTCTTTGTTTTAGCCCCTTCATACCGAACCCCAGGCGGGGTAACAACAATTTCTTTTGGTATGACGCGACCGGGGATCGAACTCCGGACCTTCAGCTATCCGGGAAGACGCTCTACAACTAGACCACAGAGGCGGTCGAAATCCTAGGATGAATATTATAAGTATATGCAGATAATGGAGATTGCACTAGTACGCACTTATGCGTACCAGGGAGCACGATTGGCCCAATGATCTGAGACGCTGTGCAGAGTTTCGTCCCTAAGGCTGGAAACCTATGATCGTTTGTTCGAATCTGGGTTTGTCAGCACCATATCCGTGCTCACGGGTTTCACCAAAGTGGTTAACGACTAAAACCTACATTACTTCTGGCTTTCCACATCAAGCTGACACTGTTCTAAGCGGCGTTAAATTAAAACTATACTTACTCAATATGGCCCGCCATCTATTCCATTGGCACGTTGACCTAGGTCTGACAGATTGAAAGAGGGGACACAAGTTGGACTGTCTACAGCACCAGTTCTTGGGGCCACTGTCTTGTAGCTCATGTCGGGAGGGGTCGCGGATCCTGCTGTAGCGGTTGTAAGTTCCTGCGTTCGGGAGACTGTTGATGAAGTTGCCCCACCTGTTGTAGCAGCATTCCTATTGAATATGTGAGTGAGTGAGTACCGTAGTTAACCACAGATATTTCAACAACATATATTTCAGTGTGTTCTTTAAGCAAATTTAAATACCTTTTGGCAAAACTGTTACTATTTCTGTGGTGTCAACAAGTTAGCGTGCAACGAGCTTTCGAAACCAAGCCATGAAATTGAGTGAGTGAGTGAGTATGGTTTCACGCCGATTTTAGATATATTCCAGCAAGGAAGGGGACACCAGAAATAGGCTTCACATATCGTAACCATTACGGAAATTGAAACCGGGCCTCAGGCGTGACGAGCGAACGATTTAACCACTATGCGAACTCACTGTCCAAAAATTCAAGCTGCCGATATAAATATGAATCGAATGAACAGCGAGTATACTATGCTTACATCAATATAGCGTTACTTCGAGATAAGCGGGTTAGAAATGATGAGAGTCGAGTTTTGCAAATGAACATCCAATGAAGTGAACAGTATTACGTACATATGTGTCAAGCGCAAATGTGGCTCGCATCTCGACACAGTACACGCTCTGTCCGTAAAAAAAAGGTAACGGAAGAAATGCTGCGCTCCAACGCAGCAGTTCTCGCCTGCAGGGACAATTCTGGGAACCAAGGAAAGACGCCCGAGATCTGAAGTATGTCCGCTGATTAAGATTTTCCAGATACCACTGGTAGCAGAGGCGCTCTGGGCTTGGTGCTACGTACTCTCCCACTTTAAACATCCAGACTCCACGTTGTTCTACATGAACAGGAAGACAAATGAATGACTTGATATAAATGACTAAATGGCTAAATTGAAAAATATCCAAAGATACGAAACACACATTTATGAAAAATATAGCATCGCAATAACAGGAAGTATGAAAAGGACATTAATCTGTTATCTACATAACATGATGTTTAGTATTTTGAGCAGAGCTGGTTGACAAAAGCCTGAAAAGTTCAATAGTTTATTCATCTACCTACCAATGGAGTTGCCAAGGACGCTGTGCATAAAGGGTTTTGTAAACCTCTCAAAGTTTGCTGCACCGGCTGTCTCGCTTTCTCTCCTGGAGTATTCTAACTGGGTAAACTGTGTACCGTCACTGTACCCATGGACAGCCTGCTTGCGGAAGTTGTCAGAAGCTCCAATATCACTGAACAAATACATCATGAATCCCACCTGGCCGTCTGTAATCATCACCAGCTGGAAGATGCTGCGCTGAAAGACATAGCAGGAACCATGAGACGGCTGATTGGTTGATATGTCAATACGACGAACTGCCACAGGCGTGAGTCCCACACCCATATTACCCATGGAAGTTAAAGATCACCCCATTCTTATATTTTGAAAGCACAACAGCCTCCCTTCAAGGCATGGTCCGATAGATATATGTACGAATTGTTCCTTTTATGATATAAGGATGAAAGTTGAGAAACTTTAGGGCATAACAAGAATGTTTAGATGTGGAACCTATCAAAATTCGTCCTATGGTGTCCATGGCAACCAAAATTGCCAATATTCGGGGAAATGTCTGCTATAAGACATGATGATATGGTCATATTCAATAAACATTTTCACTTTACTTTCACTTTTAGTGTAGGCTTTACATGGTATTCAGGTCACACTCATCTTAGAGAGTAAAATAATGAAGGAATATCAAATTCAATACATACATTACCTGAATCAACATTTAAAACAATAATAAGATGGCAATTATTTCAGGTCAAATTTTGCATTCTGACAGTCTTGTGATCCTTCATAAATGAGTACGTATCTAAGAGCGAAATATAAATAACAACATAATGTAGTAATGTCTGAACACATTGCCCCCATCATGAACTATCATTGTGCCAATTTTCATGCTTTTAAACAAAAAGGCACAATGTTAGGTTTTAGTGCACATACCTACGGGACTAGTAAAAATCCGGTAAACAAGGTATAATATGTAAAATATAATCATTGTAATTTTACCCCGACAGCAGCAGATGAGGCAGAGTAGGAGACAAATTCCGGCACTCTAGACCACGTGATCACACTAGCCCAGGATGCCCTGAAACCACCGAAGGATGTCCGCGTGCGTACTTCACTTGTCGCCCGGTCAAGCACAAAGTTAGCTGTAAAACATAAAGTGAATGGGTTCCTGGATTATTTTGACCAGTCATTTATGCTGTAATCGGGTCCGGACATTTGGAACGATAATGTAATACTGAACATCAGCATATGACATCAAGGACGTTGACGTTTGTATGGAGATTTTAGTCAGACATCGCTGTTTGTGATGTTGGTGTATGGCGTGTATTGCGTTTGGGTTGGGGTTAGTGTTAGGTGTTGGTATGAGTGTCGGTGTCGGTGAGGGTATGGGTGGTGGTGAGGGTACGGGTGTGGGTGTGGTTACGGATAGTGGTGTGGTTGCGGGTGGTGGTGATGTGGGTATGGGTGGTGGTGTGAGTATGGGTGGGGGTTGTAGTTGGTGGTGAGCGTATGGGTGGTGGTGAGGGTATGGGTGGTGTTGGGAGTATGGGTGGTGGTATGGGTTGCGGTGTGGGTACGGGTGGTGGTATGGTTACGAATGATGTTGTGGGTATGAATGGTGGGGTGGGTATGGATGATGGTATGGATACGGATGGTGATGTAGGTACGGGTGTGATTGCTGGGACATTCCAGAAACTAGAAACAATATGTTGTTGTTTCGTATAACTTCATTGGCCTCTCTCTCACCAAGAAAAAAACACAAACCCCTCTCCGATATGTATGCCTTCTCCCTTAGCAGAAAATCGGGGTGAATATTATAACAGATACGGTCCACAGTTTTATCAGCCAGACTTCATGACATACCATTGTCGTCTCCAGCGACATAGATGTGGTAGAAGACATCCCCGCCGAATCTGATGTCGAAGTCATCACAGTAGATACACACATACTTGGTCTTTGCATTGCTCATATCCATCAGGTAATATGGGTTGTATTTCCTTCCAAAGCTCACGCCGCCATTGTCACCCACCTGGGAAACAAGCATACTCTATTATTTTAGCTACGCTAGTTAGTCTGACAATGATAGTGAGTGAGTCAGTTTGGTTTACGAACTCTCTTAACATTATTCAAGCTATATCACGGCCTGTCAGCCCTTAAAAGCCCGAAACGAATAAGATCTCAGACGTTTAACACTTTAGTGAAACCCACGAGTACGGATATGGTGCTGACAAACCTAGAAATTTAAGCAGGGAGAAACGGGATTCTAACCCACAATCATAAGTTTCCGGCGTCCCCAAGGAATACAGCCCTTAACGGCGAACTACAATAGCATAAGAAATATATGCACTTATCAGTACATTTAAATGGGTGGGTGATTAGCACAGATAGGTGAAAGAATGGACATAGCAAGGGTCAAGAAGTTGACATCCATATATTCTCTTCCATATGTGTATCACTTCTAAATGCCTTTCAAAGACCTGAATGGTAACTCATTGCTTACAAACATAGACATCTCAAGCGTGTTGAAGAAAGGGAATCCGTCCTGTATTTCTATACTACTACTGGTTGTATCCCATCGATTGTGACGCAGTTTAGAGTCTGCTTCTGAAAACCCGCAGGGGAAGAGACCTGCAACAAAAAACATGGTCAATGAGCTGTCCCAATATACAAGCGCATATAGCTTTGTTTGCAGATACTTAACACATGCTATGTTTAGATATTCAGAACTATTAGTATGGGTCAAGTGAATGTGTATTGCTTATACATCAATAATTCATCCCTATCACACCTGGGAACACCAAGCTAAAGCCGGGAATCGAACCCGGGTATTGGGTGTGATGAGCCAACGCTTCCAATACCAGATCCTTCCTCTTTTCGTTGATCCTTGTTTTATGTTTTAAACGCAGAGAGAAAATCTTCCCCGAAATTGAGTGTTGTCATGAGTGAAAGAATGCTGTAGTCAGTAATATTCCAGCTTTACCACGACGGCCTCTAATAGGAAAACTAGTGACTGAAAGCATGAGTAGCCACCGGTGAAACTCAACGAGTCCCATCACCCTTTCTCAAGTATGGGCTCAATGAGGCCAGTTCTACCCCGGAGTCCTCACTGGGTTCCTCCAAGCTGCAGCGTTGGTTGTGAGGACCCATGTAATACCCATGCTAATAATTATTGTCACCCCTTTGATACATCCGTCTTTGTCGGGGTGAGCATATATATACTTATGAGCATTTGTATATAAAAGGTGTCATGTATAACTTCAAATAAATGTCAGTGTAGACTTACCAGTTCCCGGGGCAGTCGAAGCTGAAAAATATGATATTTGATGTATTATTACAGCGCAGGCAACAATGAAGTTATATTTGTAAGTGAAAACGAATTAAAGAGTAGTATTTTTTTACACCTGAATTGTCATTATCTTCAGTAGATTTCGATGACATTTGAAAATAGATTTTCGAATGTATTTACATTATTAAACAGTGTCAAGGTTCTAAAGCTCACCTGTTAGCATTCAGATCTATACATCTATGTCAACTTAACTGCAGTGAGTTAGAAGTAGCAAGCTATGATGTTTACTTTGATTATATAAAAAAGTATATTATAATTGATACGATGGATTATTCTGCATATTGTGATAGGTTTAATCCAGGATGATGGAATTTTATCAGAATGACCTGCTGATCAAATGAGAACAAATATGCCCATATGAACCACAGATCATAGGACACACTCTATGACATTTTGTTAGTAATAATTTAAAACCTGATAAACAACAAAAGCAAAGCTCCAGTTAAATAAACACGGTTAACCCAACGGATATGAACCTATTATACACTGGCAGCCTATGGTTTTACATGTGATAAGTCATGTGATAAACGTCCTTGACCTGTGGTCAATGTGAGATAATTTACATTTTGAAATATTATTTACCCTTCGGCTGACTATCTTGAAAATAAATATAAATATCTAAGACTTTCTTCTTATACTAACCCTATTGGTTGTCTTCTTGATTAATATGATTAATAAAACTAATCCTAGAAAGTATCTTCTTACGGTCTTATTCAGTGTGGTTAGTACTGATTACATCGTTGTCGGTAACAGCATGATGTTCTACATAAATATAAAAAATATACTTACGGGCCCTGCAGTATGAAAAAGGAAACAAAACAATAGGTGATACACTCTGAGAAAAATATATTTGATGTGGACTTTAGTAAAAAAGTATTACAGCATGTTTGTTAGTGTATTTCCCCCAGTTGCTTATGGTTATGTTGAGCATTTTTCTCTTCTCACGTCTTGTAAATGAGTGCCACAATATCATTTCTATAATCATAAGAAGTCTCTGCTAAAAGCATGAACATGTGTTTATGAATCAAATTGTGATGATAGCAGGTGTTCACCAAAAAATGAGCATATTCTGCCCCGCTGGTGGCACCCGTCACAAACACATGAAGTCCCACGAGCACGGGTAAAATATAGATAAGCCTTGTACCTTATCAGGGGGATCTCGAATTCCACCCCAACACGTCCCCTACAATTTTATTGAACATGTTTAGGCAAGCCTAGGGTACTATACATTAGTGTGATTACAACAACACCCATGTGTGATGCTGTTGGGGAACTCACCCGCATCTCCCATTGACACAGGGTCGGTCAGCAGGGCACAGGAAACAAATAACAGAAACTGAAAAAAGAGATTTGGTCTGTGAAAAAGGAACGTCAATTGTTGCCGTTCATGTTTAATTATCAATGCGAATAGGAGATGGCAAAATGTCAATATTCAAAACTTTATTTTAGCAATAAAGCCGTCCTAAAATAAGCGGCTTAATGAGGGATCAAACCCAAACTTGGCGTTGGTAGATGTTTGGCACGTTAGTTTTGGTTGGTTGGTTGGTTTGTTGTTTAACGCCGCACTTAGCAATATTCCATCTGTATGGACCAGACAATCCAGTGATTGGGATCGATGACATGCATCGCCAAGTCAGCGAGCCTGACCACCCAATCCCGTCAGTCGCCTCTTACAACAAGCACAGTCGCCTTTTACGGCAAGCATGGGTTTTTGAAGACCTATTCTATCCCGGATCTTCACGGGTAGGCACGTGCATGTACATGGTGCTTACAAACCAGGGATCATAATCGGTACAATTTGGAATTCGAACCTACGTATCCTGGCACGGCTAAGGGAAATAACTTCTTGACAGCGGATAACTGGCCTCGTGCCCTCACCTTTATTATGCTTTCACATAACATTTGGTACATTTAGAGTTCAATGCATGAAGTGAAAACACGCTAGTTAATGAAAGAAGTCGGTATTAATTGACAGCAAGTATTTAACTCAACAATACCGTATACCAACCTTCTACACCAGCCGTGTTGATTATCGTTCCTTCCCTGAGAACGTTGAAGGTACCAAACATTCCACGTCGAAAAATCTTAAGGAGAACGTAGGCTACTCCCCTCAAGTCGCTGCGATCAGTGAAGGTGCATGTGATGGTGTACGAAGCTTTGTCGTCTTCTTCTCTGTAACATTTAAGACTCAAAATGGAGATAGCTAAAAACATTATATCTGACGCTATACAATGTCCGTGAACGGTTTAACGTTACTTTCAGCAAAATTCCAGTCACAGGGATTGGCCTGTTACTTTCTGTATGGAATCGAACCCGGACCCCGGCGTGGCAAACCAACGTTTTAACTACTGGGCCAACCTATAAAACACACACTTTGGAGAGCGACGATAAGTTCGATATTTAGGGATGTATCAGCGTCAGAGAGAAATGTGTGCATGTATTTATTCAAGACATGGCGATGGAATGGTGAGGACAAAAGGCCAATGTGACAGTGACATGTTCAGATAGTTTGATGAAATCATCATTACTTCTCGCACTACTATGATCCATATTCACGACCTTCTATGTTTATCAGTTATAATAAAGATAATATAATTCTATCTTACCTTAAAGTTATTTCCGTTGATGTAACTCCCACGTCATTTTCTTGAAACTCCTGTTGAAGCTTAACAGAAAATTAACAGTGAGAAGGCATATAATATAATGATCCGAAAAAATGCAATTTTTCTTAAAATTTTCATACTAGTATATTCTTTATATTTATATTCTTTACGTATGTGTATCTATTTTGCTAACAGTATTCAAATAAACTCTCTTCGCTAGGAATACTAAATGTTTAACACCGAAGTGAACAATGCTGGAGCAGTATAACTGAATACGGGCTGGGCAAGGCAATGGTTGATAGTATGAGCAACACTCCACACCATGACACACACGAAACCAAATTACACATTGTGGCCAGTGAAAGATATGTTGCCCTCGAATCCCCACGGGATGGCTCGAATCCCCACGGATTGTCCCGATTCAGCACGAAGTGTCCCCATTCACTTCGGAGTGTCCCGGTTCACCACGAGGTGTCCCGAGTCACCACAAAGTGTCCCGATTCACCACGGGGTGTCCCGATTCACCACGAGGTGTCCCAATCCACCACGGGGTGTCCCGGGAGGTACTATTACACAGATAGAGGAGGGTGAATTATATCAGGCGCTGAAGGTGAGATTAGCAAATATATTTCGCATACTTACAAGGGTGGCCACGGCAATCGTGCGAGCTGCCTCGTTGGCCGAAGCACTTCGAAAGCTTTCCTCTAACTTCAGTGTAGCAATAACTGCAGAGGGAAAAGGTCCATATTAACAAATAAGTAGGACATGTAGGAGGGCAGCATAAGGCACCGACAATTTAATATTCTGGGCTTATTTCCCCTACTTTAACATAGTCAAAGCGCTACGATTGTTTTGTGGAACGGGTCCTGGGACGTTTGTTTCGAGACAGAATATTCAAGAATACGTTTCAAGTTTCAAGAATACCAAAGATTCATGACAGACACATTTGACCGTGTTGTAATGCTGTGGAAGGCAATCTGAACTCGCACTAAAGGCCAGGGAAGCAAGTTAAAACACCTCGGGAGGTGACCATGGTTTGAACAATTAACTGAAAGGGGCACTGTGTCTGATATTCATTTCCAGTTTCGGCCAAGGCCCATGGGAAACACCCACACATTAAGTTCTACTACAGAATGGCCTGGTGACACCTTGCTGAGGAGTACGCTAAACTAACTAGCATGATGTTAGTGTGTGTCACAGTGTTGTGAGTTTGGTTTAACGTCTTTTCGAACATTACCTCAGTCATATCACGTCGTGCTAGCGTGGAAATGCAAGCGATAAACCTATTTCCGTGATCATGCAAATGTTCGACGAAACGAAAGTTTTTGCAATGTTTGTAAAATGTTTTGTTGAGGAAGAGTATCAGTTCTTGTTTGTATGCACGATGTTTGCCGATTTGCGTGAACAGTACATTCCAAGAACATCTGTGTGTTTCCCACATGACATAAATTCAATGTATTGATGTCAAGTGATAAATTTGATATCATAAGAAATTTGGCTGTGTATATTTATAAGTCTATGCAATTAAGGACAAAACTGCTGATGTAAATTTCAATTACAATAATGACTGCTGTGCAACTGCTGTAACCCGGGCCTACGTGACCTTGCTGAATAGTGAGTAAGTGAGTATGGTTTTACGCCGCTTTTTGCAATATTCCAGCAATATCACTGCGGGGCACACCAGAAATGGTCTTCACACATTGTACCCATCTGGGGAATCGAACCCGGGCCTTCGGCGTGACGAGCGAACGCTTTAACCAGTAGGCTACCCGACCGCCCCACCTTGCAGAATAAACAACAAGAACAGAATACATTTGTACTTAAAGCAGTTATGATGATCCACAGATCATTATGCGTAAAACGAAACTCATGAGTACTTAAACAAGTGGTTGTAAATGTCATGTACTATGAAATGTCATTGAAATGTAAATAAGAACAAAACCATTTTCATAATCATGAGAAATCTCTGCAAAAAGTGAGCGTATAGTAAGATTACGACTATAATATGCGCATGTGTTTATGAGTGAGTGAGTGAGTGAGTGAGTGAGTAGGGTTTTACACCGCTTTTAGCATTATTCTAGCAATATCACGGCGGGGGACACCAGCTTCACACATTGTACCCATGAACAATCGAACCCGGATGGAACGCTTTAACCACTAGACTTCCCGACCGCCCCCATGTGTTTGTGAATCACTATCAAATATGGCTTATGTCCGGTATTCGCGAAAAGGGGAGTGCGCCATATCAAACAAGTTTTTAACAACCGGGAAAGTTTTTGTTCTCAGTTGTTGAACGCCGCACTCAACAATAATCCAGCTATATGACATAAAAGTGAGAATATATTCCCTATTTTTCATTTAAAACTGGACCCGTGAAGATCCGGGGTAGAATTGGTCTTCAGCAGCCCATGCTTGCCGTAGAAGGCGGCTATGCTTGTCGTAAAAGGCGACTAACTGGATCGGATGGTCAGGCTTGCTGAGTTGGTTGATGCATGTCATCGTATCCAAATTGCGTGGATCGATGCTCATGATGTCAATCACTGGATTGTCTGGTCCAGACCGTTGTCATTTAGCTGGAATATTGCTGAGTGCGGCGTTAAACAACAAACAAAGCATTCAAAACTGATTCAAGAGGAGATATGGCTTGGGTGACATCAAGCGATATCTTCTTGCGCGACTGAAAACTGAAACTGGAGCCCAATGCTTTACAGACCATTGTGACGTCATGCTTACAAACCGAAACTGCTGAGAGAAAGATTTTGGATGATGAATACATTCTCACCCTGTCATCTTTTGATTCAAATATATCAATAATCGTATATAAGAGTTCAAAATTCTTATCGACTCATGTTGATATACAGTAAACTACGGTTATAACGAACTCAAAGGGACCAGTACTTTTAGTTCGTTATAACAGGAGTTCGTTATAAACATATCTACATCACATATATAGTAAACGGACGGGACCAAAAAGAGTTCGTTATATCCGCCAATTCCTTATCGACAAAAAGGACACTCGGGTAAGATTCTCTAAATGGTACGCTTCATAATATCAGTCTGAAGCTTTTATTGTATATACCGTATTTGACGTAATAAGCGCCAAGGGTCTCTCAAAATTAGAAATAGGGGGCTCTTATAAGAATATTATTTTGGTTGAAAAATCAGAGAGTAGAAAGATAAATTTCGTGGTTTATGCTGACGGTCTAAACTGTTTATATACGACAGATATATTTTTCCAGAATTTAACTGCCCACGAGTGCGTATTATACACGAGTGAATAAATCTTGTGTACATCAATCGGAAGGGATGCTAATTGGGATTGTTCACTTGCCAATATATTAGCAAATATCGCCGTGGGCGCTTATTAGAGCGGGGCGCTTATTACGTCGAATACGGTAATCCAACTGAACACATTGTATCCAAAATGAATGATAACTATACAGGACTTTTCAAAAGCTGGTATTGTAAATCCATTGAAAGCATGCACACTTCACAGTCATTTCCACAAAGGTCAGGGATTATGATACACGTGAATTTCATGAAATTACTGTCCTCACAACAGAGGCTACAGATATGTGTTAGCCACGGTGGTTTTCCAATCTGAAGAATTCAATAAACACTTGGTATATTAAGATGAATGGGCTCCAGTCCTCGCGTGCTTTTTGTTTCACAGGACAAAGCCAGGCTTTCCCCTAAAACCAGGTGTCATTTATTGAAGTGATACAGACTCTCAAGTGGGTTGACATTATCCTCACAGAGTCACCCCGCCTATGCTGGGCCATCGATGTATCCAGTGATTGAAGCGTTCGTTGGTTATGCCGAAATCGGAAGTGTAAATCCCAATTTCGAAACACTAATACCACAAAGGCTTACTCAAAATGGATGGTTGCAGAGCTGAACAGCATCACGAAGGAAGCGCTTCCACGTTGTCACGTTGACACAAACATCACGTAATCCTGATAGATCCATATCGGTACAATACCATTCATGACGCTTGTGTATTCCAATCGAAAACATAGTCATCTCCACATAACACTCTTGTTCTAGTGTAGTTCACCTGCCTCTGCTTAACCACAGCCAACTAGACATATACGGATACGACAAAGTCCTCATATTTCTCGTCCCAACTTCCACAGTGTCCATCACATTATATCAAATCCTTGGCCAAATTCAATTCATAACTGCACGGCGCCTTGTACGTTTAAATAGCCAGTTTACTGACAGTTCGACCATTTTATATTTGGGGGTTTGTTTTCAGCTTCAAACATTGTTTTGGAGAGTTGCCTGAAAACGGATTCTGTTAAACAAAAATACCAGATCACACTATACAGGACGCACATACGTGAATACAAACATGCGCACAGGCATAGACACTCACACATACAAGCACTCAGTCTAATGCACACATCCTAGCGCAATCATTCAGTCACATCAACTTTACAATATTTACCATCATTTGTGTCGCCCTCGCCTGAGCCTTCAAACACTTCACGCTTCACCCGGTTGTGATCAGCCTGTATTAAGAATTCCTCTTCCAGATCCTCCTCGAATTTACCGGAATAGGCTGGTTTAGCCGTGAAAGGTACAAATTTTGCTCTAGTCACTTCAGGTAATTTGTTGTACTTTTGAACATGGGTCTGACTTGGTCGAGAGCGATTTCTTGTGACTGGGTAAAGATACTCAATCTCCAGTAGGTCCTCAAGCTCCATGTCACTCTTCTGTTCTGTAATCAATTGAAGAAAACGTCATTTAGTTTTGTTTGTTGTTTTATTCCAGTCAGTACTATTCCAGCTATATCACGACGGATTGTAAATAACTGGATCTAAGCCAAAGCAGTGATGTATGTGAGCAACGTCCCACAGGGTCGGGTACGATTACACTAAAAACAAGAAATGACCAAGTCTGACCACCCGATCCAATTCTAACCCGGACTCTTATTTCGTCTTTCATTGTCATGCCGAATTTGGTAAAACATTAAACGTTTCATCTGAGGCAAGAGTGTGAACTGACTCTACAAGTCCAGTTTCCACGCGAACTTGGCTGGAATGTCTGGGCTCAATCCTAGCGCCCCCAGTGGCTATTGCGAGTTACGCGACTTTGATTGGACTATGCATAGACTCATTTATCCAGACAAATTATAACTCCATAATTCCAGCCTACATCGGTAAGAGTGGAAATTGGGCTTTCACAGTCACTTAACTCCCTTGCCTCGGGAAGATGCAAACGTTAAGATTGTGTCTCCTTTAATTCTGAAAGACATACCAGGGACACTTTTTTTCAATTACCAACTTTCTCATTCGTTTTACCTCGTATCGTTTTACATTTTAAATACCAACATGGTAAATAGTATTTGCTGAAAAAAGCACTATGAAGTACAATGGTTTACATTTCTACATTTGGATCGTTGTCCTATATACAGACAATTTTGACATTGGCGCCCAAGTGAAATATTCAATTTCAAATACGACTAAATATGGAAACACCACAATGGCATGTATCTCGTATCTAAGTAACGGCGTTTCTGCTTACCCATTCTAACCGTTGGGTTCGTCGCGGTGACCAGCACCATGAAAGCGTTGACGACCAATGCGGTCAAGAAGATGCTTCTTTCTGAAACAAACAGAACGTCATATCAGTCTTTGGTAGCTCTTGACTTGTTCCAGTTTAGAAACTTACCACTCTGAAGATATGAAGTCCTCAAACTATTCCACACAGAAATACAGTACGGTTATATACTACGGTTATAACGAACTCAAAGGGACCGCTAATTTTAGTTCCTTATAACCGTAGTTCGTTATAAGCATATTCCATCAAATATACAAAAAGAGTTTGTTATATCCACCAGTTCGTTATAAGCGTGTTCGTTATAAACGTAGTATACTGTATTGTCTTTACTGTATGAATTTTTATATGGAAGGGAAAGTACAAATAACACCCAACAGGCGGTTTGAGTTAAGGGACTGGTAATTTATTATGAGGGGTGGGGGGTTGGGGGGTTGGGGGGGGTGGGGGGGGGGAGGGGCGCTATGGCGGTTTAGGACGGTGTCATATTTTGCTGCGACCCACCCCCTCCCCTCCCCATCATTTTATGTCACATTTTTGTCGCCCAACCATCACACATACATGTACCATGTTTGCATGACCCACCCCTCCCTATAATAAAATATCAGTCCTATATAGTGTTTAAGCATATAATTTTTTAATGGAAAAAAATAAAACTGTTATTTTTTCAGGACTCACCCTTACCGCCCCCATTTCTTGTTTCTTTTATTTTAGCCACCATCAAACAAGGCTGTATACCTTCTTTTGTCGGGGAGTTTAGAATATTTCTGGCTTTGGCCTTAAAGAACACTAACTCACTCACTCAAATTTGGCTGCAATTGTTTTGTGAGATGAAATAGGTTTTTTTATAATCCAGATGAAATTTGTTAATGTTTTTGTCTACATTCCTGTCTTTCAAAAATAATGAAAAACATCTGTATGTTTGAAGCCAAGAAGTCTTTTATATTTCTGAAGTTTTACTGCACGATGTTATGCTAAGAGAATGCAGATACATGTATGAGCGTGTGCTCGGTATGTATGGAGACCAGATATAAAGCTACGGCCAAAAAAGAAGTTGTTTTAATCAAAACTATAATCATAAATATTTTCACCCCGATTAAATCATATCGCCCCAACCCGTGGAGGGCGCCAGTCGCTATTCGGCTTGTCCCGGAATAACACGAGTTGGTCACGAAGGAGCGCTACAACTATCGTAGTCGTATGTTAAGGTATGGCATTAACGCTAAGATCGTGTTGTGGGGACCTTGTTTAAAGATTCAAACCTATTGTGTCATCTTCAAAACACTTCAAATCGACAAAATAAGGCGTTTCCTGTGTGTGCAGATTATTGTCTCTACAGCTATTGTCGGTGGGTTTTGAAAAAAATGTCTTTTTTAGTCATGATCTTTGTCATTACATAAGAATTGAGTCGTATCCGTGTTCATCATGAATAAAGTAGGCATGTGTGAAGGATTTCTTTACGCTTGCCACGTAGATCTCTCCTAACATATTTACGGTACAGTATCTGCTGACTGACGCAGGGCGGTGGGGTAGCCAAGTGGGTAAAGCATTCGCTCATCACGCCGAAGGCCGGGGTTCGATTCCACACATGGGCACAATGTGTGAAGCCCTTTTATGGTGTCCTTCGTCTTGACATTGCTGGAATATTGCTTAATAAAGGCGTGGTAAGGGCGTGGTTCGTTTTTAAAAGTATGTCTGCCGCATGTTATTTAGGTCACTGACACACACTACCCCACTCCTCCCCCCCCCCCCCCCCCCCCCCCCCCCCCCCCCACACACACACACACACACACACACACACACACACACAACGGGACTGGCATCTGGGCAAAGTTACCAGACCAGAAAAATTGTTGCCAGTCCAGAATGTTCTTGACTAATGAACAATAGCAACAAAAGGATAAACATTAGAATGGTATGAGGACCGAAATTCGTCTTCAACATCTGGGAAATAACTAAACCATGTGTTGACTGTTGACAGTTCATTTACCGCTAACATTGAATTAAAACTAGAATGTATTTAGGGATTTAGGGAATACAATTATAGCCTGGGCGTGCAACTTTTCAAGCAAAGTCCGTCAGCAAAATAGACCGTCGGGCAGAGGGATATTTCATACACTAAGTTAAGTCACATTTATTCCATTTTAATAGCACTTGTTTCATTGGCTCGCCAGAATATACCCTGTTTGCTTCACAGCTGGGTACATAGTCTGTGTGACTTTACGCTATTACCTTGCCAACAACATTGTATTGAAGAAGCTTTGTGTGCAAATTTTGCAAGTATGTTGATCTATCTATTATCTATTGAACAAAAAACGTGAGGGATCAAACATACTTTGGGGGATATGTTTTTGTAGGGACGACTGAGCACACAATTTCATATAAATGTCCCCAAACATAATCATGATCCCTAACTTATTTTGTTCAGTATATGATCTTCACATATAATATGGATAAAATGCTATTTAAGAGTTAAACCCTCGAGGGGAGTGTAGCCGGGTGGAACCATCGCATAATAGGATGTTTAGACTTATACGGATGGGAGTGTTCCCCACATACCCGTATTTGTCTGGACTATGATAATGTAAACCTGTTTTGTTCATGTTTCGCAATACAATAGGTGCAGTGGCGGTCCAACTTTCGTAGCTGTATCACTCTCTCTTACTTGACAAGAGAGAGTGAGAGCGTTTTCGCGAATACCTGGTGTCATCACTGATTTTCGGTGATCCATTCATATAATTTTCACGACCAGTTTGCCCTTTACTCCCAATGGAATCTGTTTCGGTGGATAATCGAGACTGGTTATTCTCTGGTATTGACATTTTATATTTACTGAGTTGGTTGTTTGAACAGATTTCAGTTTATATCACGACGTGTCAGCTTAGTGTGAGGGGATAGCCTAAAGTTAATCAGGTCGTTGACGTTTACCACAAGAACGAGTATAGTGTTGACAAAGCAAGCAACATCATCCGGGCGAATCTAGGATTCAAACCGACCGTAATCGGATTCTCACACACCTGAAGATCACAACTCTACACACCGACTGCGATTTAGACGGCTGGGCACCTTGCCCCTCACCCAATGGTAGTTAATAATATTCCTGCTGTTCACTCTGACTGTTATAGGCAGTCAAGGTACTCCCGAAGGTCACGCCTCCTATGAATAAAGAGTTATTGTCTTGTAGGGCACTGAACGAATATACCCACAAACCTATCACAACCTGCACGGACGTGATGACTCGAAGTCGTTTTGACATGCGGCAGCTTTTGTTTGCACAAGATCACATGAAGGGTACCGGTAACTTAGACTACCGTACACTCTGTTGAAGAAGCACCCTTAAAGTCGAAGTTTGAATTTTATTCTATGCTTGAGTGAGTGAGTATCGTTTTATGCTGCGTTAAGCAATATTCCTGCAATATCTCGACGTAGGACACCAGAACTGGGCTTCACACATTGTACCATGTGGGGAATCGAACCCGGCTTTCGACGTGATGAGCGATCGTTTTAGTCACTAGGCTACCCGACCGCCCCGTTCTTTGCTTGTTCCCCGACATTGTGACATTATGTCATATCTAAACATGCTTGTTCGTGTGGGTACTATTATTGTGCTCATCTTCTAAATGAGACAACGAGACGTGTGTAATCTTATTTAAATTATTTGTGGTTGAGAATTGGTTTTATGAAATGGTGTCTAATTAACATTGAAAAAAATGTGTATCAGAAATATTACGTCAACGCCAGAGATTAACAAGTCTCGATTATCTGCCGAAACAGATTCTTTGCGCGTAGAAGGGAAAATAATGGTGAAAACTATATGAATGGATCACCAAAAATCATTGATGACATCAGGCATTCGCGAAAGGGTAAGCATTCAGAAATACCCGCCACTCACATAATTTGCATAAAAATGTAAGTGTCTGTTGCCTAACGCCGCACCCAGCAATACTCCTGTCATACGAAGGTGGCATGCGAATAATCTTAAAATACGCATGGGTTAATAAATATTATTATATATAATATATAATGATTGGGAGGGATGTTCCGCCTGTCACGTTTTTGACAAAACCATCTGAATTTTAATCTTCTAATATACATTTCATTTTGATGATCTGTACCAGAGACAAAATATCAGACTGATAGGAAAACCTTCATTTTTGGTCGTAAATATTCTTTGTGTGTGTGTTTCGTCTCCATGTTCAGCTTCAGATGGAGTGGATGGGCGGGGATTAAAACAAAATAAGAAATAAACCTGCCTTTGTTTGCGGTAAAGAAACTGGCAGATAATATGTTAATTTTCACACTTTGGTCAATAGTTATCTATATGCTACAGTCAGTGGTTGCAGTATCGGTGTTGAGCATTTTAAAGACGGAGCAAGCGGGGCACAACAGACGAAAAACCCGAAGCAACAGACAGTGTTATCTGCGTTCCTTAATGACAAAATACAGAGGTGAAGATGAGAAGTACGCACAAAAACATATACTGCTCAAAATAAGTAAACGAACTCCAGGTTATTTCATATTACTATAGTTACTGTGTCATTCCATGTAGGTGTCGGAATCGGAATCTTTACTTCTTTTGAGTAGTATATCGCCTGACCATATCCCACTGTAATACTAAGTGACAACTACTAGGGAACTGAATGTACTGCTTTGGGATTTCGTGTTTAAGCTAAAACAAATACTGATTTTAAAACATTGTATATTACTGAAAATTATCACAGTTGTTACAGATGAATGAATGAATGAATGAATGAATGAATGAATGAATGAATGAATGACCCAAAACAAATGTGAGCTCTCCATTCATTCGTAAAGATCTAGAAGCAGCAAATACATTACACGAATAAAGTTGGGAGTGAGTTATATACACATGGTTTCACTATCAATACAGAATAGAACTTGTTCAGGTTCTCCCAGCCTCTCACAAATGACCTGAGCCTTACTTTAACCCGACGAACATTAAAGGACAAACCGCTCTTTCACATCTGTCAGTACTAAATACGCGTTCCATAATACTGCTTTCCACAACACACAATAACAGGCCCTGCCCGTACGTTATATATTAAAGGTGAAAGCATTATATATCAATGGCTTCTCAGCTTCATTTCATAGGAAATAACCGCCAAGGCGCTCCGCTCTGCTGGGTGAGAGTGTCAACGGTATGGTTGCTGAGGCGATGCAACCTAACGTTAGACACCACTTGATCGCAATTATGATAAGTTACGCTCGTACATGTAGGCTGTTGCAATGTACGCTCCTAACGGCAAATCTAACATTTTAGTATTGGATTTGTTGGGGAAGAGGGAACTTTTTACAAGAACTACGGTCTGATTTCGTGGATAAAACTGAGATCAGTGGATCAAGGTAGTGTTATATCTACAGGCGTTTTTCCTTTCATGTGAGTAAATGCAATTTTTGATGCATATTGAAACTTAAACTAATTAAAAATCTGTTTATAGGACATTTTCATTGAAATAAATCACAATATTTAAAATTTAAATTTATAAGTGGTAATACTTTTTTCCGTTCTTCATTAAAGTTAAGTAAACTGTCAAAGAAGGATATTAGAAAATAAAAAAAACCTTCAATATAAATAGCGAATATTTACCTTGTGGCATTTTTCTTGATTTTCGTTGAAACAAATAGGTAAGTATTCCCACTGTTGGTAAATCCTTCCTTTAAATATAGTGTCCAGCAATCCTACTGAGGAATGAGACCAGCTCACCTCACAATAAAATCAGATATGAAAGAAAACTGAGCTATCCGTTCAATATTAGTCCAATAGCATGAGCCGGTGGGCGGAACCTGAACTTTACTTGAGGTAAATAACGCCGTATCCTGATTGGTCCGATGAATGAGTTGCGTAGCTCACACTCCTTGGTATAACAGATGACCAATGGTTGGGAGATACATAGAAAGTAGAAGAACGAACGAGAGTAATATATAATCATAATAACAAGTGTTCTCATTTCTGACAACCTGGATCATGTCATTTGAGAAAAGCATACGAAGATGGCGGGCTACTAAGGGACGTTTTGCGGGAAAGTCATTTCTGAGATATTAACGAGGTAAACAGGAGTTATGTGGGTGATAAGAGGTCTCTTGTGATGCCAAAGTCATTAAATAAAGGGAACGTTTGTTTAGTTATACAAGAGTGAGTGAAATTTGTTTAACGCTGAATTGAAAAGTATTAATTTTCATTATAACGGCCAGTCAGTTTGATTAAAGAAAGCCCAAATTGAAGCAGGTCTTCAACGTTTACTATTTAGTGAAACCTACAAGCACGGGTATGGTGTGTTTGGTTTAACGCAGCTTTGAATAGTATTCAGTTATATCACGGCGTGTCAGTTTGATGTGGGAGGAAAGTCCGATCTGTTGCAGGTCTTGGACGTTTACCACGTTGATGAAATCCACGAGCACGGGTATGGTGCTGTCAAACCTTGAAACATAATCGGGGCAAATCTGGGATTCGAACCCACGATCACAGGTGGATTTTTGTTGCATGATCTGTATGAGAGGCTGCGTTAATTATACACATAGGCCACTTCAATCACAGGAAACTATATGAATTCCCGTTTAACAAAGCGGTCTCAGAGTTAAGACGGTCGGGTTTTTTGTTTTGTTTTTTTGTTTGGTGTTTAACGCCGCACTCAGCAATAAACTATATGACGGCGGTCTGTAAATGAACCAGTCTGGACCATACATTCCAGCTAGCCTGACCCCCCGATCCCCTTTGTCGCCTCTTACGACAAGCATAGTCGCCTTTTACGGAAAAGTTGCCCAAGATCTTCACGGGTCTATGAAACTTGCCGAAACTTACTTGCGATAATCGTATCGGTAAGATCGGTTTGTGGAATGCGGCCCAGGTGAGACAACATGTTATCTCCTGAGAGCGTCAGAACAATATGTTGTTATCACTGTGAAACAGTCTGTTGGTCACAAGAAGAACCATTTGGTGGTCGAAGTCTTCTGGATTTTCAAAATATATCGAGATATGCGGAGTTCGAGATAACTGTAGTCTTTATTTTATACGAGAATGCGATTCCAACGGAAGCACAGAAAACATGGTCTATTTAGCGATTTATCGAGTTTGAGGAATAAGAGTTTATTATGTTAAATTGTATTCGACATTTGGATAACAACAGATGTTTGAAACGTGACACCATCATGACGTGTACGACAAATTGTATTCGACTTATTGGTTCAACATAGTGATTATTCATTCATGACACACACCCAATTCCGAAATGGAAGCACACGTTCGACGTATGATATCATCAAATGTTTGACATAGAAATAAAAAGTATTCGACAGGGTGATCACACAATTTGCTCGACAGCGATACGACGCCATGACGGCTCAAAGTCATATCCCTTCTGTCAATTACCAACATTGCCCCTGTCTACTCACACTTCATGCTAATAGATACTCTACATATAAATAACCTTGACAGGGTTTGACCTTAAATAAGCGTTAACAACAATATGCCAAATATGTGCTTTGTTTTGTTTGTTTGTTTGTCAGCTGTATGACGTCGGTCTGTAAATAATCGAGTTTGGACTCGACAATCTAGTGACTGGCATCATGAGCATCGATCTTAGCAATTGGGATACGATTACATGCATCAACCAAGTCAGCGAGACTTACAAGCCGATCCCGTTAGTCACCTTTTACGGCAAGCATTGGTTGATGAAGACCAATTCTAACCCTGACCATCACGGGAGGAGACAAACTTTGGTTGCTAATGAACAATTCTAACGAAGATCGTCACGGGAGGAGACAATCTTGGGTTGCTAATGAACAATTCTAACCAGGATCTTCACTGGGGAGTTGCCCTTTGACAATCGCTGAATGGAATACTAGTAGAAGCAAAATCTCTGTGAAACTCCATAATAATTCTCAATCTTTTGTTCCTCCACGAGAAACGCCTAACAATTTGCTGACAGTAGACGCCACGCCTAAACAAATATGACAATTGCAAAGTGAGTACAGAATATAATTTGCTGCTTGTACAATACTCTTATTTAACACGCCCTTGGAAAAGTAGATTGCTCGAATCATACTAAGGATGTATTCATGTGTTCTGTTGTGTATATTTGAGTGAATCATATTGTGTTGATGAAATACAGCGTGATAGAACACCTGTAAATACGAATCTGGCTTAGCTTTAATCCCATTTGAAACTGGACAGACATTGGGAATAGAACGATAATTGAATGTTTACAACTCAAACACTAAACCTTGAAATGTACATATTGGTTTACAAATATACCCAACAACTCCGAGGGCGGAGGTAGAGGGTGTGGTGACATTGGAGATGTTAACCACTTATTCCTGGTAATAAATGCAACAAAACCTATTCCAGCTTCGTACGAAATCTCAATTCGATTGTACAATTCCAACCATGTCATGAGCATGCGTCCATGAATCAACATCGATTAGTGATGATACCAGGTGTTCGCGAAAAGGTGAGCGAATCCTGCCCCACCGGTGGCACTCGTCACAAACGCATGCTTAGGGAAGTCAATTGTTCACCTGAAAACAAAACAAAACACGTAAATATATGGTACAAGTCAAAATAGGGAATTGCATAGGACATATTTCTTACTGAGGTTGGAGCTGGTTGATTATTGTTCAACATTAAGTGAATGTGACTGTTGGAAAGTTGAAGTCATCATTCTTGCCATACAGTCTTGTGGAAAGTGTTTTGTCACTCTGAATCTTTATGCATAGATCTAAATATGAAACACATGAGGCGGTCCTTTATTTCTAGTTCAGGTGGGTAAACGATTGGACGGGAATTAGCTATTTGATGGTTATCAGATCATCGGTGTACCTGAAGCTTATTAAACTTCTTGGCCAAAATACCTTGTTTTGACTTTGCCAATCCGAACAGAAATTCCGATTCATATGCCTGCTAAGACATTGTTTACACAGTATTATTTACTTCAGATGACATTAACTCTAGTCTTTGAAGATAGAGATGTAAGTATATCAGTCTATGATCACAAGCAGTGACAATTAATCATGGATTAAAGCATTAAGTTTTGCTTTAGTTTGTCTTTTGGGATAGTGGTAAATAGCGTGGGGGAAATGTTTTGACAAACCATTTTTCCACTTGTCCCAATTACTTTCTGTGAAGTAAGGAAAGTCCTTCCTTAAGGATTATCGTCAATCCTTGAGACAGGGATTTGATGGTACATTTTCTGGAATCAGCAATACATCTTTGGAATCCAGTACAAAAGAGGAATAAACATATCTTCTGGTTTTAGAGCCAACATAAAAAGTTGATAGTACTTATGCATGGTTTGGCATTTTTATATATGTCACTTATACCAAGTTCTTTGGTCAAACAATTAATGTAGTGATGCTTACATAATATAATGGTTATGTTATTTGAGGCCTTGTTAATGGGAACAACTACAAACTTTTCATGTCAGGCAGCCATACTATGGATGACAGCTGGCTGGGACAGAATGGTTTTATTCCAAATCCGTCTCCTCTTTTTCAGTTTGTGCATTCTACCAAAGACAACATCACGCCCTGGCTTAACCCACACTGAAAGATATTCAACAGGTTCACGTCCTCTTTTGGCCATTTTTTAGCATATGCTTCGCCAGCATCACTGATGATTTAAAAGTTATGATCCCAATTGGTAGGACGTTGCTCACGATAGTTTGGTCCATATTTGAATAACTGTCGAAGGTTGTTGTCAGCAACAGAGAAGTCACCTGTGATTATATGCCTACAAGTTGGTATCAGTAGCATGAGCCTTGGCAGTCACAAGTAGTGGAATTTACATTCTTATCTGTCCAGTGCAACGTTCTGCAATACTATAGTTCCTATAATTGAAAAAAAGTGGGTGAAATAGTGTTCGTATAGGAATACGAAATTGTTGGTTGAAGACCATTTTATATATGTGTTTTATTATTTGTTTCTGTTACCTATACTCAACCGTAAAAGAAAGTTGTATATAATGATAACAGAGAAAACATTTGATAACAAATGGGCGTTGATTATTTGATGGCAACAATCAAACTCCGAAGTAGGAAAATGATAAGTGTCAGTCGTGTCCAGCAATAGTGTGTGTGGCCCCCCGTTTGGTGCGACACAGGCCGCACATCGTCATCTTATTGAGCCGACAAATCTTTACAACAAGGCTTAACAATCCCGTTCCATTTTTACAACACCAGACCTGTTCCTGGGGTGTATGTGGCTTCCTTGCAGTCTGAAGACGTCTCCCAATCTCGTCCCATACATGCTCAATTGGCGCAATGTCCGGTGACAAAGACTGCCAGGGCATCACAAGTATGTTATTCGTTCTGAGGACTTCCGCAGAGACCCTAGCTGTATGGGGACGAGCGTTGTCCTGGTGAAAAACCTGGAGTTGTGGTTGACCCAGCAAGAGAGGTCTGACGTAATTACGAAGAACATCATCCCTGTACACACAGCAGTCACACGCTGACGGAACATATGTAGAGGGGTCCTGTGATGATAACTGAAGCCTCCCCGCACAATGATACTTAATCGAAGCATGTTTCCTGTTCTTTTTCAAAGTCGAGTGTGAATGCTGGGTGTTTTTCTCATACGGTGGCTTATGTATGATGGACAAGGGGGACATGCACACATTTCCATGTCATTTGCGCTTCCCGTGCAAAAAAAGTCAAACGAGATGAAACGACTGCGTTCCTGCGACGTGCTCAAAGTTATAGTGAACACTGTTTGTGTTGCTGAAGACCTACCCCGGATCTTCAAA